GGTTTTAATAAAGTAGGGATCAAAGCACGAAGACACCCGGGGTTTGCATTAATTCATTTAACATCTAATAACAATCTTTTATTGTATCTTTTTTACGAATTAAATCAATTTATCACCGAATCTTTGAAATAAGACTAGCGAATTTCAAACTCATGTTCTGCGAGAATTTTTATAAAATTATCGTAGTTCTTTTCTTGAACTTTAATAAAAATATTATGATTTTTTAAAATTATCTTTAACTTTTTAAGTCCGGAGATTTAAATCAAGAAATTGACGAATTGTTATTGTGAGTAAGTTCACTTTTTTCTTTGCAAGACGGTTGATTTCTTCTAATAATTTTAATAACATATAGCAAAGATGTTTCTATACTGCTACATTGTAACACGGTACCATTGTCGAATTTAAAGTGTGAAAGGGTGCACCGAAGGGTGCGCGTGTTTTAGCAGGTTATATATAGATCGACATGTGTTTTGAGACCAGACCTCGACGACCTGCACAGGTCTCGATAATGCGGAGAGGATTTTTTCTTTTGAAATCCGAGACGCCGGTAATGAGCGTGGCGCTCGCCAACAATTAGTCGACAGTTTTGTTGGTCGGCGGTGGTAAAATCAGCCGTCTAAGTGGATTCCCGGGAATTAAAGCGGGTGCAGCCCTCGATCTGAATTGTTTGTTCTCGTTCCGCCGTCCGACCGAATCGCTAAGGGCATTTTTATTTCGTAACTTGAAACGGTCACGCATAATTGAAGCTTAAGGTCATTCACGAATTAAAGAGGGTCAGAGGGTCAAATAACGCTCGAGTGCATATACGAGAGATTATTCTACGTTATGCTAAAAGACATACAGAGATTATCGTAATATTAATTGTAAGTATAATTTTATATTTGCCACAAATGATTTGATTAATTCCGAAACGATAGAAAGTTAATCGTATTATTATAGAAATTTGTCGACGACTTAATTAAAAACATGCATCTCTTTCTCTCTCTCCCTTTCTCTCTTTTGTTCATAAAATATAAAACTATTTTATTATTCTCTACTTTTTATATCTGAACGTCAAGCATTTTTTTAAACATTAATTGAAATATTAAAGTAAAATACAAAAATTTTAAAGTGATATTTTATAGGAGCACTACACACAGAAAAATACATACTGTATTTAAGTAAATATTACTTGTTTTAAGTATTTTATAAGTTCATATATCCGCAAATCTATCGTAAGTTCATCATAAGCATCAAATTTATTCAAAAGATATTTTGATCCCAGTAAGTTTAATACTTCAACCAAGAATATTAAATTAAAAAAAGAATTCTATTTGCTTATTAAATTAACCAAATCTGACTTTTCTTCGATACAATTTTATAATATTCTTCACCAAAAAATAATTACTTCTTTTGAGTATATGAGTTTATCAAAAATTTGTGATGAGTATATTTTAAGATTATTATCAAGAAAATATTCTTTATTAAAGATAATTGTTACTTAAAAAAAGAAAAGTAAGCCGAGTAATTACTTTTCTTAGCAATAGAATGATATTTTTCTGTGTGTACAGTGATAATTTTTATTTGTCTATTATTAAAAGACCGTAATAAGAGTTGACATCATGACGGGAGTTCATAATTAGAACTTTAGTCCAATTCCATGAATCGTGCTCAGCAAGAAAAAGCTAAAGAGTGTTTTCCGAAACGCTCTTTTTCATAAAGAGATTTTGTGTGACAGGGAGGACATTGAAGAGCGTTAGAGCGTTCATCCCACGGGAGCAAGTTCCCCTTCGTCTTCTGCTCCACCGTGTCGTAACTTTCTGGTTTTGTTTTTCCTCGTGACAAGATTCCGCCGACGAGCGGCGGATATCAGTCAAAACAGTATCACGTGGCACGAATCCGTCCATTCTGTCATGGGAAACTCGCGCGGCAGAAGCTCTCGCTCGACCGCGATCGCCGAATCTCTTGTACTACGCTCGTAGTGAGAAACGAAAAAAGATTTGACGAATTCCCGCGGTTCCCAGCGATGCCGTTTGACAATAAATCACGACCAATAAACGAAAAACAGAAGTGTGTCGGTATTGATAATAAAATTTCACAGTCAATTGTGTTCTAACGTGAGTGCAAATAATGTTTGTTTATCAATTTATTGACGATAATATTTTTCGCAATTTGACTGACTTCACTAACTTTTCTTAAATTCCTATCAATACGATTAAAGTCTTGTCAGCATTTCAGGTTTATTTTTTTCCAAAAAGAAGAAGAAACTTTTAGAAAATCTCTTACATGGGAAAAATATGAAAAACGCGGAGCTTACGAGACACGCGTCATATTGGAAGGTGCCGTATTTCTCTTTACCGGTACTTTGCAAGCTCTCTGACGCGAGGAAAACGAGCCGGTCGGGTTCGCGTCGTTCATGTTTCCATTTTCCAACCTCGACTTGGATCGAAGCAAGCAGCCGCGACGTCAGTGAAATTGCATAAAACTGCGACGCGAAATGACACACTGATACAATTTGCGCGAGGCCGTGAGGTAGCAGAAGAGACATCGTCATCCAAATATAAACGAGTATACGGATCAGTCTGCCGACCGTCTGGTTATTTATCCCGCTTTTCCGAGATTATCCCGAGAACCTCCCCCTTGGCTGACCGTTCGGCTCGCCCCGCAGGGCCACATGAATGTAAAGACCGTAGTGTGCGATGAATAATCCCTGCCAGTCTTCAAAGAGAAACACAACTGCATTCTGTCACACGCGCAGAAAACTCAACAACTTTGTATGCACGTTCAACGCACGTCCAATAATCGATCAAATTAAATCATGTCGATTTTTTTGTATCTTCAGAAGAAAATATAATGTTGGAGGAATATAATGAAGGAAATATAATCAATATAATGTTTTTAAAATCTTAATTTTTTAAAAGCACGTAAAAAACGAAAGAACAAAAAATTTGCAATTGACAGTATTAGCAGAAGTCAGTTTAAAAAATTATATTTTTATTAATTTGTAATGCAAGCTTTCAAATATTAATTGAGCAATGCCTATCACAATGCCATTAATAAAACGTGACTTTTCAGGGCAAATATCGTGCACAAAAAATAATTAATGGATTTTATTGAATAATCGTATCAATGATCGATCGAACGAATATATCGTGTGTAAGTAGATGCAGCAAGCGTGATCAATTAGGATTTTTTCATTTAACGTTTAAATGTGACCGATACTGAGACCGTAGCAATTCCATTTACGCAAAGGCTGCACTTCGCGCCAGTAAAGGTAAGCTTATAAATACTCCAAGTTTCGAAATAGACACCGGACAGTTCGCGTACGTCGCAAACCGCACAGAATCGTTCGGAACTCGACGGAAATTCAAATATCTCCAGGCACGTATCTTCGGTGATTAAAGGCAAGCTATGCTCGTGCCAATCTCTCATCGCATTTGTCTCCAACCGAAATTATTCGCGTCCGTTACGCAATAAATACGAAATATCTGAAGTGTATCTTGCATTTACCGCGCATTTCAATTATCATATAGATATTATTCCTGACAAATTTCTAGGAAATTTTCTTGGAATTTCTCTTGCTTGAATTTTCATTTGATTAATTTCTTCAATATTATTAGTAAATTTTTCTTCGTTTCTAAAGCAAATTCTAATGAATGTCATCTAGCATTTTTAAAATTTTGCATCAATCATAGTCAAGCAAAAATTCAGTATCTTTCAAAGTCAAGTCATCTTTCTTCTCGCAATTTTTCGAGGCTCATTCTTATTTGATTTTTTGCTTTTTCATATTCGCAGGAGCTCTGACATTGAAGATATTAAATTTTACTCATTACAGGGACATTAATAAATATTAATGAAAGTCATTCAGCAAATATATCTTATATCAGTCACTTTTAAAGTCGAAATTTGTTATTACTCCTATTTTTAATTTATGTTGATTGTCTGTCTTGCACACAACTAAATTTTAAACGTAATATATTCTAACATCGGACATATCATTAGATTTGGTTCACTGGTTGAACATAGGAAGAGTCTAATAAAAGTCATCTAGCAGATATAAGTTTTACGTCGACCACTTTCAAAGCCAAGAGTTCTCTTCTTTATGACAGCTAGCTCCACTCCCGCCCCAGATACCTCTTCGGTCCCGGATATACGTTTCCAGCTGTAACTAGGGACGTATTATAAATCAAAAACGGCCCGCGTTTGCGCCACTTTTCGTTCATGAAGCGGCGCACTTTGACAAAAATTATGGTCGACCATATGCTGATGTAAGAGCGTGTAAAGACCACCAAAATACGCACAAAGACGTGATGACGTTCTCGTTAAAGTCGTTAGTTTGTCAAATATTCTTGAAAGATATGAAGATAAATACGTGATTTTCAAGATAATCATGATTTTATGTACCTTGAATTAAATAAGTTTGACACTATTTTAATTTCAAAATATTAGTATTATTCATAGTTTTTAATTGTATAAATTAATAATTTTTATTATAATTGGTAATTAAAATATTTATTAAAAATATATTTAATAATTAATTATTTTAGTGGAAATTAAAATAGACTAAAAGCAAAGATTTTCAATTATTGTATATTTAATAAAATAATATTTTTTAATTAAATTAAATTTATAATGAAAAAGAAAAGAAGAACTACACATTATTTTATAGAACTATACAGTATTTTATAATTTATAATTATTTTACAGTTTCAATCATTTTTACATTTATTTTGTAGATACATGTGTACATTTTACCTGTATTTACATTCTTATCGTGTAATGATAACAATCATTTCTTCTATAATTCACCTATTATCATCTGAACTCAATTTGGCTTCGTACTTCTTATTTTAGTCGTAATGTTTGTGGAGGCGGTATTGTACGGTAAATTTTGCATCTACGCAACTTCTACAAAATCAATAGTTCTTGATTGTACATGCGACGCCACACATGATTATCGTACTGTCAATAATAATGTCTTGTCAATTACCTGTTGACTAATTAAGTACATATATTTACAGGTGACCGCTATTGGGTTAATATCAATCAGTGTACAATGTTGAATCACGTGTATTTGCCCGCATATTGCGCGCACGCTCGTACGTCAGTTGCATCAGAAACAAGCAAAAGGTAGAACCGGTTGTGTGTCTTACCGACTTTACTGTGAAATTTTGAGCCTTACACATGTAGTCATCAAGACCGGAAGCAACGATGACTTCTACCGGTGAGTAGAATCATTTCTGATAACATATTATTGCAATACTGTAAATTGTTTTGTATTTATATGTAAGAATCATACACTTGATGATGTATTTAATTATTGGCATAATGACAATAGTCAATTGATGTTATTATGGATGAGCGGAAATAGTATAAAACTATATGCAGAACAGTATAAAACTGCGGTTGTTTAATAATTTACTGTACCAGCAAATGCAGGTTAATGCATAACAAAATGCCACCACATGCCGGCATTAATGATGCAACTATTAAACCCAATTTCGAACTCAATAATATAATCAAAAATATAAATGATTAATAATCAACACATAGGAATTTGTGAGGTTTTTTTTAATGTTTGTCCGCTTTTTTCTTATTTTATAGTTTAATATAAATATAGAAATAAATGTTTATTTAGTTACATTTTTACATTTAAAATAAACAGAATGAATATAAAAGTGTGGCAATTTTTGGAGAAAGAAAAAAAAATAGAGAAGGTACGAGAATGTAGTAGAAAATGCAGTTACAATGAACTAACCTAAAACTGTTGTGCGTTCGAGATGGCGTTCGTGTTTTGTTTTGGCGGGAAAATCACGCGGCAGTTGCTAGTTCATCATCACTGTTGTCAACTGCCGTCTCGTGTATACGTTACTGCTTATTTCGGAAATAATTGAAGATCAGTGATTATCACAGATTTTTCTAATTGTATCTTGGCTGACACAATTTTAACACGATCAAACGTGCACAAACACGTTTCACGACGTTTATTAAGTTTAAGTTTTATTAAATCAAATTATTTTATCTAACGATATCGGTTTCACACGCAAACGATTGAACGTTAAGCAAATATTATATAATTTTGTGGTAAGTAATATCAACATTTTTTGTTTTAATGAGAGGGATATTTTTATTATTATTACATTATTGATTTATTTAAATAATGCAAGAATAGTTAATTCTCGAACTTTCGTGATAAATTTTTTCAAGAGACTCATAGTTTATCGACATTCATGTGCATATATTCTATGAATAAATACACAATATATTGTCTATCATAAATGTTTTTAAAACATTTTATACATTTTAAGGCATAGAAAAAAATCTGATAAAATGTCTGTTATATTATTTCTTTCTTTTTTTAAATATTATAATTGGACTTAATGATTTTACACATCATCACTGTGTTATTTATACTATTGTGTTATCAGAGCCTTATAAAAAAGTAATTAGTTTCGAAATATGCAAGATTTATAAGTTAAAAAGATTGATAGAAGTAGTCTACCACTTATTTCTCGCATATGTAATATGATACATGCTGAATGTTATTTGGATCCTAAGGAATGTGTAATGAGAATATCTAAAATGTAGAAATAAAATCTTGAATATTTAGAAAGTTTAACCATTGTACTTATAACAATTAAAAATTTTCAATATTAATATCCTGATTGAAAGAATAAAAAACTTTTAAACACATAAGATTTTTCTATTATTACTATTTTAAAATATGATTTGAAATTTATCTTATTATATTGATAAATTCAGGAACTATTCTAGGAAAAAAATTATCTTTATTATTGTTTACTGTTACTGTTAGCCTTAGTATGATACTGTAGCCTTCTTGATAAACCAAATAAATTCTTGGTATACTTTTAATATGATGTAGTGAAATCAGCATGTTATCTGTTCAGGCGCAGCATACCTCAAGGCATTTATGAAAATGTCTGGCTCTCTTGGCAAACAATACAAACGTCCTTTCACGGTATGTGTAGAAGGCAATATAGGAAGTGGCAAAACAACGTTCCTGAGTCATTTTAAGAAATTTGACAATGTTACTGTATTAGAAGAGCCTGTTGAACTTTGGCGTAATGTGTCTGGTACAAATCTACTGGTAAGTCAAAAAATGTTCCATATTTATTAAGATATAGCTTACAAATGGAGCACAAATATTTAATGATTTTATCATCCAATTTTATCTATCTGCGCACTGAAATTTTACTGCAGTAATAATAAAGAAATATAATGTCAAATATAATTATTTAACATATTAAATATTATTGAGAATTAATATTACAACATTCTATTTTGTTAAATATATTGTATGCAATTCTTTATATCTGAAAAGACATTAGATTAATAATTCTTAATTACATAAAACATTAATATAAATGTATTTTAATACAAAATATTTGTTTAGCAATAGTGATAACAAGAATTACACATTATTTTCAGGAATTGATGTACAACGATCCATCTCGTTATGCTTTCTTGTTTCAATCTAATGTACAATTGAGTATGCTCCAATTGCATACTTGTAAAACACCCTCACCATACAAAATTATGGAGAGATCTGTCTACAGCACAATGTGTTTTATTGAGAATATGAAACGCAATAATATATTGAGTGATGCTGAAGTTACTGTTTTAGAAGAATGGTACGACTGGTGTTTAAAAAATGCCAATATAGAAACTAATTTAATAGGTACATATGGTTTTATATATTTTATAAGAAACGAGAATAAAGAAACATGTAACTTTGATATAGGAATCATTATTTTTTGTATTAATTCTTTTATTTATTGTTAAATAGTATACTTGAGGACAACACCTGAAATTGTGTACGAGAGAATGAAACAACGAGGTCGGAAGGAAGAAAACGCTGTTTCGTTGGAATACCTGAAGCGAATCCATCAAATTCATGATGATTGGCTTTATCATCGTACTATGAAGCCAGTGCCAGCACCGATTATAACCATAAACGGTGATCGAGAACTTCATGAAATGGTGGAAGAATTCGACAAATGTAAAAATAAAATCTTTAGCAATGTGATAGACGATAGCGATGTGAATAATACGATGATCACAGTGCCAACGAATCACGTACTACCCAAAATAAAAGCTGGTATCTCGGATTGAAATGTAGAATTAACAGGTAATAACTTTATTTTAAATATGATACAACTTAATGCATTATTCATGCATTTACGCTAAATCATTATATTAGATGATTTTACGTTAATTTTGCCAATCCTATTTATCATTGTTGCATATTCATTTCTTTTTATGTCAAATTTGCATTTACTTTAGGTGTTAGATTTTAATATAAAATTATTTTACGCTTAAAATTATTTTGCGCGGATTTTTAAATTATTTTTACAAATTGATGACTTGATCAATTGGATTTTATTTTACGTTATTAATACAAAAAAAAATTTTTTTTAAACTTAATACATATTTGATTTAATGGTTATCATTGTTATACCAGTATTAAAATTTTAGATATTTATTATCTCAGTGTGCATTTAAATAATTTCTATGTTTACGTAGTAAATGTTTTTTATATCATTATGTACAAGGTATCAGTTGACATGCGCTGTAAGAAATGCAAATGAAATGAAAATAGATAGGAGTGATGTAAATGAGACAAACTACATACTAAAGATTTTGATAGCGTTATACGTAAAAAAGACTCAGGCATAAAATATGATTAGAATGTAGAACACTTTGTAAAGTTCAATATTTTTTTTTTCTTTTTTGTAAACCAACATTGAAGAGAAAGAGTTGATATAAAAACGTACTTAAAACATATTTATTTATATAAGAAAAACTGAAACATTAAATGTATATGTACAAGAAAAAATAAGAGAATGTAAATTTAATAATTTAAGAAAAAAGAATACTATATTTCAGACATAGTCAACTTCGACTCTGGAGCCTTTCCTTTTTCTTGTTTCGCAAAGTGAGATGGAGAAGAAGACAAAGTTTCCCATCGATCACTGCGTATAAATTATAGAATCTAAGAGGGGGCGTCTGAGGGGAAAGCGGCTTCGGATTCGAAATTGAATATAGCCTGCTATATTTATTCATTGTTCATGAATGTAAATGTACGCATTCATTTCAACTTTATGGTACATATAATCACGCTCGATTCGACGTGACTCAAATATTTGTGCGCATTTTCTTACGAGATGAATAAATAAGACAAATGGCATTTAAAGAATCGCATGTTTATCTCTGCTGATTTTTACAATATGAATTATAAGTAAAAAAAGCACAGTATTACATTACAACTATGTGTAAATATGTGTATCGCTTAAAGCGACTGGTAGACTTGTTGATAATATTCGGATGTGTATTATTAACCAGATCATGTATTCGCCTGAATCGCATATTCATTGTAATTCTGTACAATGCTAAATCGAATGAAGGCTGAATGCGTAACAGTCCAGTCACCAGTGTTCCTTCAGCCAATCCTTCACATTTCATATGAACGATATCGAACAATGGAAATCGTGCCTACACGCGCATTATGTTTATAAACTACGCTTGTAAAATACGATATGTATAAAAATAACGGATACTTCGAGTACAAAAAAATCACAATCGTTTGTATAATGCGTATGTACAAGCGTCGGGTAGGATTTTGACGCGCCACACCCGACTAAGATGAACTTTTGCGAGCTGCGGCTAATCGCTCGACGCAGTCGTATTCCCCACAGGACCACAATATGCTGACCAACGTGCCGAGCTGTGCGTCTCGTGTGTTAACTTGCTTCCAATCGAGTAGCAGCTGATAAATTACCTGAAATTATTGTTTAATAAATTTTAGGTGTTCTTAATTTCTATACAAAATGTTTTGAGTACAAAGACACGATAATATTTTTTACTATCGACTTTTCCGATTGAATTTGATCAAGTTCACAAGTTGATATCACGTGATGATGTACGATATATATTTGAGAGTAGAGTTCGATGTTCACCTCGTCGATGCCTTTGTGCCTGTAATTCTCCTCAAATTGCTCGATTTGCCCGTCCGAGTACGAAAGTCTTCTCGCGACGTCACGCCATCCGTGTCCGACGTGCGTCTTAATGATGAGCATATCGTCGAACGCGAGTTCCTCCTCGCATGTGCTCAACTCTTCCACGTTTTCCGACATAGGTCGATACTTTGACTTCGAAGTCGCCTCGGGCTGTGTTGTAAACGTGTTATTACCCGCTGGATACTGATTTACATTGCATATATAGCTCGTCCGTGCGCCGATCTTTATTCCGCTGGAGTTGACTATGTTGTAATTAACAACGTTTGTGGCTTGTGCTAAAAATTGATTTCAGAGAATTATTGAAGAAATATTGATAATTGTAAACTTCTGAAAAATCTATTTAGAAAGATAATTTAATGAAATCCTTCCACTGTACATATATCTGTACGCGTTATATTAAATATTTGCAATATTTGTCGTCTTGAATATCGATCTTTGAACTGTTTATTAGGTACAATTGCAAGTATTCACGTTTTCTGTAGACGACTATTTAGAACATTTAGATAATAAGCTCTGATATCGTTCCTTGATCTGTTTCAATATCTGTTGTGGCGAATAATCGCAAAAATTTAACGTGAAGGAGTTCTAGCAGCTATTATTGCCTTATTATGATTCCGCTGAGTAATCAGATAAATGTTTAAAAAAATTTTACGGTATGAATTTAAATTATCGCTTCAAGGACGAAATCTTCGTTGCCATCGAGCAACTACACAAATACTGATAAAATGATTGCGCGTTTGCGAACGAAATAATTTATACTGCGGTTTTCCTGGCATCAAGCGTCGACATTGCATCCGAAAATGCTGCTTTCTTAATTTTTGATAAATGAACCAGAAAGCTTGGTATTCCCCGTTGAGTGTACGCAAGTGTTTAATATGTGAATGATATATTATCGTGCGTGATAACGCACGAATCTTAATCGATAAACTCTTCATAACCAGAATACAAAGCGAAATGATATATCAATAAAGAGATGATATCGTGATAATACATGAATCTTAATCGATAAATTCTTTGTAACAGGAATACGAAGCGAGATATATTCATCTCACAATTCAACTTAATTTCGATAAAATCGCAGCATCTATAATTTTTTTCCTACTAATTCTTCTTTCATTAAATCACTATCAACTAAATTGCAATGCAAATGTCATACGTTCAACTTCTCGAAATACGTATATAGTACTTATTCTGTGTAATATCTATAATTACATTGGTTTTACATTGTCATTTACATTCTCGTTTTATCGTATCTTTCTCGTTCTATTCCTCCATCAGAATACTCAATTAATGGCTACAATAATAAATGCATTGGGTACAACTTACAGTGTTTACTGTGTCTCGATTTCGTCTTTGTTTTTGGTCGTCTGAATTCTTTCGACTCGCTCGTCGGCCTTGTGTCGCCTAGGTCTTCCGGTTTCTCACAGAAATCGCTGGGCGTCGTAGGTCTTGCGTCGTTCGGTACCGATTTTTGTTGCATCGACGTTACATCGTCGTGTTCCTTTTCCGGCGTAACGGGCGCCGATTTCGACTGCGTTTTCTTCAACTCTTCCTCCGGCGTCGATGGACGATTGTATGTGTAGCCCTCGACTCCATCCTCCGGCGGATGCGGTATTGCATCCGTCGTCAACATGTCGTCAAATATCTTTTTCTTTTGAAATCGACGCGACAGTTGTGACAGGATTGGCATTCTTTCGATCAGCGCTCGATGCCTCTGAAAATAACATCTCGATGTTAGGATACTTTGAGGATGGAATCGTGTTCTAGAAATCTTCTTTTCGAATAAAAGCAATAAACAGCCCTATACATGAGTCTTGTGCTGTCTGTTTACGAAGACGCAGTTTCCTGACATAGTTTATTGATTCAAAAGAAGAGAGCTATTATTTTTTCCTTAATTTAACTATCTAAGAAAATGCGCGATTTGGAATTTTGCACATGCTGTGCGTGATGTTGCACAAGGCTGTTACAAACCAAACACTTGACTTCATTGTTTCTTCTCGTAAAGTAGATGCAGATAGTAAGCAATATTTTTCTGAGAAACATGTTTATTAGAATTGCACTCTCATATTAGCATAACAAATTTTGCAACGAGTAACAAATTAAACGTCTGCAAGACCATAGAAAAATATTCTGTAAAATTAAAACACGTAATTTATAAGAAAAGTCAAAAGCGTATTAAATATAAACATGATACTTGGAATACATTGCAATTTGCTACTTTATAAATTTTTTTTTTTTATCGTCTTATGTAGTTTAATTTATTTTCTAGATTTAATTACAGCATGATTTAACGGTACTCATTATTTTCTATATTATTTTGTTTCAATTTAGTTCTAATAATCCTTTAATATTATTTCTTATCCTTTATCTTCTTTATCCTTTAATTGTGGAATATCTTTATTTAACAAGTTTATTATCAAGTTTATTACATTTTAATAACGAAAGTTGGAATGGTATTCTTTAGAAGCAAGTTAGAGCAAAAATGGATACATCTTTTTTTCGTGCAACCATGTATCATTGTCATAATTATATGCGATTCTGACATTAACGATCTATTTATACCTTCTGCTTCCGGTGCGATTAGATGTCTGTTTGATGCATTTAAATGCTCATCACTCGCTTGCACAATATTCTTTGAAAAGCAAACCATTTTGCGAGTAAATTAACGAAAGGAATTGAGGCACTATTACATAATAATGTATTGAATGCAAAAATAATTAATACAAAATGTCAAATATAAAAAATTATCAGAGATGAAGCTAAAGTAGCAATATCCAAATATATCACGATTATTTTACTTAGCAGATTTAACACGATTTGTACAATAATTTTACAGTTTTCTTCAAAACTTCAAAAAGCACATTTCATGATTTAAATATTAGAAACTCTAAAAAATATTTTGCATCTCAACATTTGTTTATTGATACATAACAATAAGCGTAAATCTCAAACGTTGACGGGTTTCGCTTTTGCGATTATAGTATTATAATATTCGTCGAATCATTTATCGCGATTCTTCTGATGTAAGAATTTCACAATCGAAAAATTCGTCGGAAATTCCGACGTTCTTTTTTACGCTCCGCGAACTTCTGACCGTCGTAAAGAAAAATTGCGATTACGCATGACACTTTCCTACATGTCTTTGCCTCTGAAACGTCAGAACGACTCCGTAGATGCGGTATAAATATTTAGCATGCACACTAAAGCGTGGATTTGACTATCAGCTGCTACGTATTACATGTCCACTTCTGATATCCGATAACGACACGATCTTGTTAACTCGTAAAAGTCAATTATTCGCTGATAGATTTTCATTCTCCTTGAGTTTTAACTCATTGTTAGCTAATAGATATCAATTTTTTTATAAACCTAGTAGAAGTTTCAGTATTTATTTTGTAATTTCTACCTAATTTGATCAAAAAATGAGTTAAATATTAAAAATTTCTATATTTTGTCATCTCAACCATTTTTTAGCAATACGAAAAATTGATTCAAAATTAATTTTTTATGCAAAAATGTAAAACGAAACATATATTATGGTATATAATATCTATATTGTTTTATATGTGATTTAAGTTTCGACATAAATAATAATATTTAATTCATTAATTTATTTCAGCTTTCACAGGAGCTTAATTAATCTTGAACACCCACTTCTCTGAAGAATGCTATGAACGCGTCCATTAAAATTTTTACCGGGGGAAAATCATACCAGAATTTCTCTCAGAGAACACGCTCCCAAAATTTCAGAAACACGTGAAACACATGTATACACTTTCATCGACTAAAGCATAAATCTCTCCCCACTGGTTACAACATAGCGCCGTGCAAACTGACCAATTCCAGGAATTGCTTTATTTGCACCGATAACGCGATTCCGCGAATATATCTACTAAAGACAGGAATATATTTTTAACCGCGCGTGTTGTGGATATGAAAGCACATGTATGTATCGTTATTTCATATCATTGTTTCGTTTCGCCCGCAGATCCGGACGTTTCGACCAACGCCGTATAAAATTGTATAGTTGATTCACAATTCTGCCGCAATTACAATATCGAGGGAAAAGATATTTTTACAATTTTCATTCGCAAATCAACCACTATTGTTTCCCTTGCGCTATTTATATAATTTTTTGTAATGAAAGAGATTTTAACCAGAGACAAAAATTTTTAGTTTTAACTTTTTATCTTAACTTTCATTATTTTCTGAGAACTTTTATTCGACGAGTTCTAGTATTTTGTAATAGAGCGGGAAAACTTTAATTAATCGGAGTGATTAGAAGATTACTGATAATTTTAATTACATATTAGATTATATTGCTATTTTTTGTTCCGTTTTATGTGCTGTATATGCTACTTATCGTTATCAGTCATGACCCACGTGCAGTGTATCGTTAGAGGTATAAAAATTCAACAAGTTTTACATTACAGTGATAAACAGGAAACGTGAAAGACAGATACGTCAAAGTTCTGTTAAGCGAAAGGAAAATATTTGAACGTTTCATCTGGGAAAAAGCCGCCTCGATACGCAATAAATTTATAGAACTTAAAATACTGCATTATATTCTAGCTCGTATATAATCCACAAGTGTAACGACCTATCTATCTTGTGGAATCTATGATTCATTCCACGTGCAGTTAAACATTAACGAAAGAACAGTTGTCCTCGACGATGCATCTTCTCTCTGCAAGCGCAACTGCAGCCCAAGAAATGAAAGATAAAACAACATAAAAATTGAAATATAATTTTCTAAAAATATTCGATATACTATATTTTTGGAAACATCCTTCTGTGAATATTTTATTGATACTTTTTCGAGGATTAAGTTATCTTTTCACTTCAATTATTATATTCCAAAAATATGATGCACGTAAGAAAGAGAACTTTTATGGCATGATATTATAATTCCATCTTTTCTATTCTATGACGAGCAGAATATATCTCACGTACTTCGTTTCAGAACTAATCTTTTTCAAAGTCGACACAAAAATGCCACGCCTTTATCGTGCGTATCAGTCATGTATTTAATTCGGCGCCGGATAATATTTGCACGATATGCAATACTGGATCAACATGAGATGCAACATTCCAGAATGATAACATGAACAATTTAATAATTATCATCGACAAAAGATCCCGTACGAACGTATGCAATATTTGTTTCTAAAAGTAGTCCACGATAAGACTTTTCGGCTCGAACTCTTGTTAGCTTTAAACAATCATAAAGCTCGTGTTTGCGGGATTGTCGACTTAAGTGCTCGGTAAGCAAAACTCGGTATTTTTGTATCTGCCAGCGAAATTGATCGCGTCTCGCGAATTTCAAGATAAGTCTCCCAATCGTGAGCATTACGCAACGGGTATCACGCAATGGATTCACACGCGCTATCTGTTGTTTTTATAGTCCTGCCAGACGTTCTTAGACGTAATCAGAAATGTGCATGAGAGATGAGTAAAATCGATTGCTCATCACGGAAAAACACAGTATGAAAACCTGTATTTAACATATTGTTTAATGATAGGCGTTTTATTAATATAATGCTCGGAATAAAAAGGTAATTTTAGATTCGAGTCAAGATTTTTCTTAACATCGTTTTTTGCCAAATCAATTACACCATCGCTTAATCTAATTGTATAAATAGCAAGTGATAATGCTTTCCATCAGGTCGGATGTATATAGCGATAATCATAATGCGCATAAGAGCGTTAAAAAGGATGTTAAGTGCCATTGACACTTCGTGATAATTTCACGTTTAGATACTTGTCAGATGATCGAATATCTGTTAACATATGATAAACAGTTGAGATAAATTGATTTGACAAAAAAAAATACATTCAATCTAAAAATATAATTTTACACTGATTGCAACAGACTAAAAACTAAAGAATAATAATGTACGATTGTTTTATCTGAGAAATAAACTTATAAACTTCTTGATCACAGCAATGACCAGATGCTAAATTTAAAAAATGTATATAATAAGCAGGATTGCAAATAGAGCCACTTTCAAAATGTGAAATTTTAATTAACAGCTATTTTATATTTATAATAACAAAAAAAAAACCAAAATTAAGAAAAAGTATCTCAACTTAATTGCTAACTTAAGTTTCCCGCAGATAATACAGTTCCCGCATAAGCGTGTCTTGTTTAGCTGATGTTATATAATTATGTCCGGTGATTTTGACTAACGTCACATCATAATACATTATGATTCATCAGACTGTTTTATCGGATAGTCCAGAAATAGTATTGTCTTTGCGAATTGCTTTATGCTTCACAAAGAATTCTCCAGAATTAGCAATTCCATCGCGTCGACAACGAGCACTATGAATGTGTTTGCACGGTTCAGTGACAACGTGTATCACTCGTATGAGAAGCGTGTGCGTACAAAACGACCTCGTCACCTGGATTTTCCAATGGCAAAACGAGTTCCCCATTTCGCGTTGGCGATGCTAATAAATTTGAAAGCAAAATAGAGAACAAAAGTCAATTGATGAATTTGATAATATTCTGCAGCGGAATTGAACACAACATTGTACAGAATTATTATACTTAATTCGCAGACAAAACTAATGTTTGCACATTAATTTATTTTTATGTGAAAAATCATTGCTTAACATAGATACAGTAGTTTGTATCGTAATCGTTTGTGTAATCTAAAGAGATTATAATTTTTCGATTGATTAGTCAAAATGAAAAAATTGAAGCTATACTCTGCCGACTTGCTGTTTCTGGCCTTTGATTAATTTATAATCTGATGGAAACACATGACAGATGTGCTACCTATCTATATTCAATAATCTATGCTAGATATCGCATGTATCTTTTCTTATAATAGGGTTGAATCCAACTTTAGGCAGATATTTTTATACTATCAGAAAAAATATGCGACTCGCGCTTTCAGCTTTTGGTTTTTCATAATTCTACGTGCAATTATTTTTTTTTTTTATTTATTATATCGAGAAATAAAAAATTCAAATTGTTGATACTGAAAGTAAAACTGGAATTAATAGATTCGCGCGGACTGGAATTATTTAAGTTTCATCACAGTAATAGAAAATAACTGGAGCAAACGAGAAACGTGGAAAAGAGTCGAAGATATGATAAAACACGTCGTCTCATTCTCATTTGGAAAATCCTATTTATTCATGTTGTAGTTTTTTTCTCGAGATATTCCACGTCTGATTATACTATCATTCAGTGTTAATTATTGTATAATTAATATAATCACGCACTATCATTTAGCATGATTAAGTTTTAATAAGACTCATCGCTAAGCTCTAAAATAATAATGCACACTTTTATTGGAAACAAAAAATAGATTTATAACATGTTTATAAATATATTTATCTCGCACTTTTCTAAATGATATTTTAAGAACTGAAAACAAATTACGACTTCGCGAAGAAAAAAAGGGCGTTGGCTTGATATCTCGATAAATGCAGGTATAGTCTGCCATAAATTCCTTCACGAGGATCGTTAAATTTGAAGAGTATCGAGTAATATGATACGCAAACTGCGATCTGATATGCGAAGTTATATTTTGCAGGTTTATCACGCTATAAAACCAGTGATGACTTACGAATATCGATTGGCAACGGATAGGCTGAAATAATTGATCGATAAACATTTGTTTTCGTTCACACATGATAATCGAAATAGGAAATCATTGTCCAAATGTGAGTATCGCGTGTTGAAATCGAATATAAATTTCTAATCTAAAGAATGTTAAAAAAAATAAATAGATGACTACGACTTATTTTATATATGTATATATATATATATCATTATAAGATGAACGTGATAATCGATACGTCACGATGTATTGAAACAAATTTTCTTGACAGAATATCATACATTTGTTATGCAACAATGCAACAATGTTTTAAAAAACTCTGAAGAATCTAAAGAAATCAATTTTTTGTTAAACATAGCACGAAAACCATACCAGCGGTGATATAAGTTTTATCGCGCGTTAATGATTATTTTTTATGTAATAATTTGAATATTAATGCAATATTATTGATAATACTAATATGATTCAGCATGTAAATATCGAAACTTTTTGTGAACTATATATGCAGATAGCTTGGAAACAACGAAGTGTTTTGTATGCGTCACTTTATTGCCCCACCTAATGCGATAATTTATCTATTCACACCTTAACGATTGCTAGAATCTTCATTAACATAGATCATTAATAAAAATCACTGCTCGTGAGTTTGTCGTTAGATAAATTATATTCCATTTTATTCTAATAGCTGTCACTTCACTTCATTTATCGTATGTCAGTTTTGTTTTACAAGAGTATCTGAACACTTGCTCTTAATTGAATTGCTTAATTTGAGAACAAGATGAATCTATAATTTTCGAGAATTGAAATCCTGCGAAGAGATCCTGTTATCAAAAAATCAAGCGCCTACATTCAGAACTAAATGTGACTTCCATTTAATTTCCAATCTCACGAATTTCGTGCACGAATGCATATTAAAATGGAAATTCCACTGCAATCAATGAGATAAGATTGACTCGGAAAATTTAAGCGACAATTATCTAGTTAATCGATTCTAGCAATTAGCCTTCATTTTCTATCGTAGCTGTAATGGAAATAAGCAAATGAAAATAAGCAAAATAATAATAAGAAAAATAAATTGAAGAACAAGTTAATTATAATGAACAACTAACGTGATCATTCTTATTCTTTTTTTTAAATTTTTATTACCAGTTTGAACTTGAAAACCAGAGACTTGCCTTGTGACTCTGAGAGATTAAAATAAAATTATAATAAAATAAATATTCGATTGATGACTCATGTTCTGTTTTAGGATCAAACTATCAAACGACATTGACTGCTTTTGTCAAAAAATACATTATCACAAAAGGAGAACCAAACGAGAGTGAAAGTTGTCCACACAACTCAAGTCTTCGATGCGCTTAAATTTCGATATTTTTACTGTGCAAGAAATGATGAATAAGCTCTTCACATCATCATTCGACATCGCATTCAATGTTAAATTGGCATAGCTATTTGCACTTTAAAAGTGAGTAGGAAATAAAAGACGTGTAATTAAAATTAGACGGACAATTAAGTAAAAATCCTAGTTAATAAAATTATCCTTCTGCTTGTTTAGAAGCGTGAGTTTAATTTAGAATAGCAGATTAATGTAGAGCGAGTGTTCACATAGAATGAATTAATTGATGTCATTAAATTCATTAAATGTCTAACATCAATAAATTCGAAATCTAAATGTAATTAACGCAGATTCTTTTCATTTTAGGAGTAATGTAGAGCCTAATCGTAATGCTCGTGCAATAAGACACGCATCTAAGATCGAAGAGTTTGTATTTAACGCTAAATACAAACATAATGCAACATGTGAATGAAAAAGTGATGTCTACAAGCGCAATAAGGAAAAAAAACTTTTCTAGTAAAAAGTCGCAGAATGTCACAGAATTAAAAGTGACTTTATAACTTCACGCTTCTAATATAATAATGCGAGTGTAATTTTTCACATTATAAAAACAAAATAATATATGCGATAATGCTTCGTAAACAAGTCATAATTTGTTTATAGCGTTATGCGTACGTTTGCCATTTTTCTTCAGCTAATAACACGATAAAACCAGATTACCTATAATTATGCGAAATAACTTTTGCTTTGTTAAAATCAGATAAGCTGAGTTATATCGATGACATAACATTGCTAAATTGCAAATTATTAATTACATTTATAATTGCAACGTTTATTCACTATCAATTGTTTAACTATTAACTACTGTGCTTTTGCTTTGCATTGCGATACAACGACGCAAATCAACACTGAGTACATTAAAGCAACATCAATATAAGGATACCGATTATCATTCATTGCTCACGTGACGTGATTGAGAGCGTTTACCGCACATTGAAAATTCCTCTTGCAAGAAAATCTTTCAAAGATTACCGAAAGTATGAAACAGAGACTCGGACCGAACCGGAACCGGAACCAAAAAAAAAAACCATAAATTAACCAATCCAGTTATGGTTCTGATATTATAAACTTTATGAAAATTTGATTCAAATTATAGTTTCGATTTGATTAAAAACAAAACGGTTCCGGTTCCGGTTAATTACGGTTAATTCCGGTTAATTCCGGTCTGGTCCTTGATATGAAAGTAAAATCACGTGAGAGAACTGTCGAAGGCAACACTATACCGTTGTAGCTAATTATCCGTCAATGTCAGTCTGTTCAAAAGTATTCATTATAACTCCTGTATAAATATGTATATACTAGTAGTCTACATATATATATATACATTGTCATGATCCAGACACAGAAGACACACTTCTTTTTGTGGAGACAAATATCCCGAATTCTTTTTAAAATTACAAAATATATATATATTCTAAATGCTTGAGAAATTCTGTAAATGTTTTTATGGAATTTATATTATTTAGGATTATATTGTTTATATTATTCTAGAAAAATGCGCACAAGTGGATCCATAATGATGCACTCACCTTGCTGCCAAATAAAGTTGAGCGCCCTGGCAGATCGACGTTTCTCGCAGATGTGATCATGGATCTTGGCGGAGTCCTTAATGCTGCTACTGTTACTGGTTTCGCTTCCAGTCGATCTTGACACTTCACAACACAACACTACTCGTGCGTCGTTCGTCACTGTTCGCCAACGACTGACTGATTCATCGCTAATCACATCGCGTTTTTCGTGCGAGCCGCGTGACCGACCGAGAGGAAGCACTCTTATCTTCCTTTTTTTTTATAAAACGCAGCTTGCATGAATTTTTCGTATTGAAAAAATGTGTGGCAACTACTTTCAATAATTTTTAAAGATAGCGTATAAAATTGTTAATAGAATTTTATCACGAACTATGGGTTGTCTAAAATTGGCTTTATACAGGGAACATTTAAAAAATCAGAATATACACATACATGAAATATGTATCAGTGATCTGTATTTTCTATGTGTATATTCCGATTATTCAAATATTTCCTGTAACAGAATAATAAATAAACTAACTCGAGTTCTGTGCGATATTTGCGAATTATAAATTACTTAAAGCGATAAAGATATACGAAGTATTCGTAAGTTTTCCAAATTTATTTTTCTTTTATAGTTTATAATTTATAGTTCTTGCCAATCCTCGATATATAATTATATATTCTGTTTTAATTTTTAATTTCTAAGTGCATTAAATTTTTTAACAAGAGATAATTTAAAATAGATATCTAAAAAAATCTAAATATCAGAGGAGTAACATCAGAATACGTTACTGAACCACGATGTCAAAGAAAACATGCGCGAAAAGATATAAGGCAAGTGAACTATTGCGGGAAAATATGGATTCGGAGGTGTTTTTCGAAAAGTACACGTTATCAGAGGAAGCCACGACGAAACTTGAATCTCTCAGGGAAGCGCTGAAGAATGACATTGCCCAGGCTAATCCATTGTGGAAAGTGATAGCAGGAGAGGTTAGAAATACATGAACTTTTCATTTAACATTACACTTGTTGTGAGCAATAAATCTTTAAAAAAGTTGAACTTTTTACGTAAAATACTCGTTATTAAAAATCTTTTTTCAATAAATTTATAAAATTAATATATACATATAATTATGGAAATAATTACTTCTATATTAAATTATTTTAAATTATCACAGATAATTTAACACACTATATATTGTAAATTATTTAATTTAGAATGAAGAAACAATATCTTCAGAGAGTGAGGAGAGCGATGATAATAATAATGATGATGATGATGATGAGCCAAACATCAGTGAATCTCAAGCAATGTGTAATCAGTCAATGCTACAAGTTTCTACTCAGTTTTACTTCACACAATCTGAAAGAACAATTATAGAATCTGAAAAATCTGTTGGTATACTACCACAAAAGTGTGATATTTTAGAGTCTGCTTGTGAAAGTTTAGAGCGAAATAATGGAAGATTAGATTTTGCTCAATTAGACAACTTGTCCAATGAAGATCTTATTCCACTGATGGATGAGATGGCGAAGAAATTAAGTTTAAAGGGTATTTATAATCTGTGTCAGTCGATGGACGATATGACTATCGAGCAGAGAATGAAATATCTCAATATATTGTACACATATTTATTATTACCAAAGGTAATAATAGCATATGCATATATTGTTACAATTGCCAGTTCATATTTCTTTCACTTAATTTCTTCACATTATAAACACAGATAATCGAACTCGAGGAACCGTCTCGTTTATTGTCATCTGCAATTGCCGAATGCGTTAAAAAATTTCCCGACGAAGTTCAACAGTTTATATTTGTTCCAATTCTCAATACTGAGCTGAAAGACGTAACTTTGATAACAACTATCATAAACACGTACGATCTGCAGAAAAGAACTGTTCTTTTAGAGTATGTTTCACAGTTGATATATAGATTACTAATTTTTTTATTATAATATCAATTTATTATTAATTATTTTTCAGTATTTTAGGTAAAAAAATTAATCTTTTGTATATCATATAATATCAATTAACATTAGTCACATTTTTTAGATTTTATCATCATTAATATTAAAATTAATTTTTATCTAAAGACTGAGAGCAATTAATAATATGCTAATATACAATTCTATTCCTTAAAAAATGGAAACTACTCTAAAATTGATGAACAGATTTAATAATGGATATTTTATCTTTACAGGCAGTTTCTTGCATATGTAGAAGAATTGAAAACATGGCACATATCTATATTGCAAAACTTCTTATCTGTAAAACTCAATCACAACATGATCGATAAAATTATAAAACTATTCTCGGCAAAAGCTCTTTATTATTCCAAAGATAAGAACTTTGGGAAACTGATACTGTCATTATTAAAAATGAATACAACACTGACTGAAGAGCAAAAGAATCTAATGGCAGAAATCGCTACCGTCAATGAAACGTTATTTAAAAAACTTATAGAAAATATTTTAAGGAATATGTAATCTTTAAATAATGCGTGTGTAAAAATACGCAAATAAAAAATTTACTTTTACATTGATAATAATTGTGCGAATAATTCATAATCTTTTTTAATGTACAAATTTTTTCAAGTTTTCTTAAATTATTTAGAACTTGATTTTTCTTTTATAATGATGTTCGCATATATATAAATACGTAGGATACAAATATAGTCGTGAAATAAATAATCACATTTCTGACGTTTCGCGTCTGCATGGCGATGCGCGCGAGATACGACTCCGTGTGCTGATCAGCTGATTGAGGTTTTTCTATTCGAAAGTTCAAGTCACAGTTCACGTTATTGTTTCGTTATTATTTCGACGCAACATAAGACTCTTTCGCAAAAATTACTGCCTGTAAATATATTATTACGAAGCAAGCCGTCTTGATCATCGTTCAAGAATGACACAAGAACTATCTGGTGTAACCATAGTGATATTTATAGCAGCAGGTGTTTTGACAATATTGTTACTGTTTATCTTTGCAAAACGGCAGATCATGAGGTTCGCTCTGAGATCTCGTCGGGGCCCTCATGTTCCTATAGGACACGACACGAAAAAGGTGCGTTTTGCGACAATACATTTTGAGGTTAATCTATTATGCCACTGTATTATTGTTTAATCATGTTGCATATGTTTTAGTCTTTGAAAAAGGAAATAGAAAGAAGAATAGAAGTGATACCTAGAATCCAATATGAACCGCAACTCATCAGTGATTCCAGATACATTTTAACTTCAGGAGGCCAAGCTCCACCACATTATTATAGACTGAAAGCGGTTGATGATGTTAAAACCTTAGGTAAGTTGTCATCGCATTGTTAAAACGAATACTCTACTAATTCACGTGTGTTTGCAGAAACTGAAATTACAAAGTATGACAATTGTTTGAAGAGACATCCCTCAGAAAATCTAAGAGCCTACTTGCTCACTACATTAGCCACTCCATTGAATGGAAGTGGCCAGCGTTTGATTCATCAATTCTGTGATTTGTATGAACACGCCAGACACGATCCTACCGAATTTGGTGATGAAGAATATCAAGTGTATACTCGTTTATTCCTGAAATTAATGGATGCGTACGTATAATTTAAAATATCTATTAATTTTTTAGTTTTAAGTCTTTATATTTTCAGTTGGTTTAAATATGTCTCAAAGTTGCTCCAATAGAAGAATATCTATATATAATTCAAAACATTCCTTAATTATTTAGGGCACGTTTATTGAAATCATATCCAAGCAGTAGAAAGTCTAGTCCCAGTCGTACGCCAATCAAAAAGAATGTAGAAACGAAGAGAAATATCCTGGAGCCTAGGATGCGTCCGCCCGAAGAACAAATACTAACTGGTTCCAGACCGAATACTCTAACCGTTATGACGTTAGACAACAGTGAGACGTCCGTGTAGCATTATGAGTGTCGTCACATACAACATATGTGACGAGGAAATTATAGATAGGTATGGCACTGAAATAATTTCCATTACACTATACGTAAATGGAGAACGTCCGATTTAGTTAAGGATCATCAATATGCATTTTTATTTTTACATTAAATATCTAAAGTCACTATTTTATTCAAGTTAAGTGTCAACAGTATTATCGAATAACGCGTATTTTATAGACAACGAGTAACTAAGTTTCTTTTTAACTTGTTTAATATTTGTATTTATATAAATTTACATCTAAATACGAAAAAATCAGCCTTATAAAATAGTCTTCATATTTGTCGCATTGACATCGCTTGTAAAAAATTTAAATATGATATTGATGTATATAAAAACAGCACACAGTCGTCGAATTAGAAAATTTATAATGGAATAGAATTTTTTAACGCGTCATTTGTTGTATATAATTCTTCAGGTGACGGTAACACTAAGTAATAATTGCTAATTGTGATTCATTAAATTTTTTGACTTTGAATAATTTAATTAAAATTTATACACATTTAATCACATAGAATTATATATCTAACGAAATTCAGAAAAAATGTCTAAAGCGATTAAAAGATAATAGACTCGTTCTGTTTTTTCGAATGATTATCTTTTAACAGTGACGAATTAACACATATCTTTTTCTACGCATTATAGTTTAATCGTAAAAAATTTTTAAGAATTTAACGAATTGTATGTAACGAACGATATGTATGTATATAGCTGTCAAGCCTTGATATGATTATTTAATAGCAATAAAGCAGAAATATTTGAGTAGAGTGTCAGCTATACTTATAAATGTTCATTACAGTTGTAGGATTTATGATAGGGATTATTGATGAAGTACAAGGCTGAGCGTAAAATAAGAATAAGTATCAAATGGATAAATCGTTTCAACACAAAACCTTCCTTTTTTATACAAAATATTTAATATAATTATAAAAAAATACATTTTATTTATTTACAACAATATGCACGTTTACGTTTTTTAAATCTTGAAATAAATTCTAAATAATACTTTCGCAGTTACAAGTCAATATAAGTCTTGGATGATAAGTAATTAGTCCATTGTAACAAATAGTCTTCTTCGCCCCTCAATAATATTAATGCACTTTGAAATGCAGGTACGTACACATCAGATATCAGGCAATTGGTCCTCATGTAATTCAACCACTTCATAATCTGAAAAAGAATGATCGATATGACGATAATATGTATTTACATGATAAATGTATTGTTCATTTTGCGACGAAAAATTTAGCCATGATTGTAAATGTAATTTTTGTCCGACAAAAGGCACGAGATAAAGATCTTTGTGATATGTAAAATATTTGTAGCTCACGCACAACCATAAATTTATGATCACCTGGAAAGATGCCGATTTCCAAATTTGTCTGTCGATGAGCACAGAGATCGCTAATGGGAACAATCTTATTTTATCGTCTTGCGAAGTAATTAACAGCTCCTTTTTCGGCAACAAGCAATCCAAGCCGGATAAACAGATAACCGAGACGAACAAAATGTCCAAGTACAAAGTTGTACAAACATTTTCCTCTTCCGACATTATAAGCGCGATGCGATTCATGAAGTCCACAATCCAGTCTTTTTGCGATGCTAGATCAAAGGATTTATTTAATCTCAAGTCAGTCTGCACTCTCTGCATGCTTTCCAGGAAGTGTCTCTGCATCCTATAAAAAAAGCGAGAAACTTAATTGGCTTGAACTGAACATTAAATTTATTACATAATAATAATCGATGCCTACTCGGGACTACTTGCAGCTGTTTCGATAATTTCGCTCAACCAAGTGACCGGTGTGCCAGGAAAATTGCCGCTGAATGCTAATTTCGTTCGAACAGCGATGGCGTTTCTCAGTTTCTTCGTCGTTTCTGTCCACCAAATATTCGGCGATGTTATTCTCTCGATATCTTTGACTGTCAAGTGCATCAAAGCTGCATAATATATCTCGAAAATTGAGAAATCTTGGTCGGGCGTCAATTCAACCATCTCAAATACTCTTTCCATTAAAGTAGATAGCAACGTGCGATTTCCTATGAGTATCAGATCGCTTTTCAAAGCGGTGCCGTACGCAGACATAATCCAGTTGAATAAATCGATTGACTTCTCGTCCTTCTGTAAAATTCTATCAATGAAATAATCGATCGATGTTTCGAGGAATTGTTGCAGGCTATTCGGCTGAAATGCCTGGAACAGCTCGTCCAGATGCGAATAAAGCACCAAGTGTTTCTCGTTCAGCAACAACTGACTAGTTTTCGACGCGGACGTGTGCATTGACAAGAAACGTTCCGTCAGCGATTTCGCCGACTGCGAGATCCGACAGTGACGGCTCACGATCGACAGACTAAGCTCTTTGGCCTCGTCCGATATCTTCATAATTTCCTCCAAGAAGTCCCACTTTATGTTCGGCAGCGGTTTCTTGTAGTCGTAATTGAATACGCGCAGACATTCCATTATTACACACCGATTGTTCGAGTCCGTCTTGTCGCTTCGTCTTAAATGCTCGCCGATAGCCCTTATCACGCTTCTCTCCGGTAAGAACTTGAAGTTCTGCGGTTCTCCTTGCGGCCAATTATATATTCGCGATCTGAAACCCGTTAGTTCATTCTCAATGTAGAAAATCAACAAGTCCCTGGCCGCTGGCAGGATGCTCCTGTTCACCTTCTTCAGCATCTGGATCCAACAAGAGCCCGGTATGTACTGCAGCGCGTCCTCGGACTTGTCAGATTTGTCAACCGCATTTTTAGAAGGTACCACGAGGTCCGATCGGAAATCCAGAGGCAGTGTGCTTAGAGGTACTAGTTCCAAGGGATAGGATTTCAGCGCCTTGAACGCCGCTTCCGCGACCCTCGTGTCCTCGCCGATCGCGTAGCGCCACAATTCTGTTGCGATCTCGGCGATAAACTTCTCGTGGTCGTCGTTCGCGCGAAACGGAAAGGAGGGGATGTTCGCGAAGAGGTCGCACAGGCTCTCCAGAACCATCGTGCGCTTCTCCGTGCGCATCTTCCGCGCCAGCACCTTCCAAGTCGAGTAGATACCTACGAAGTAAAAGTGCATTGTTAATTGGAACTCCGATGGCTTACAAAGAATCACGTAGAATACAAAAGACTTCTTTTGATAGCTTAAAATGTGAAGTGTACCTATCACCGCACTCTTGCACAGACTCGAGATAGCGTCGAGCGCAAGTGCGCTGGCCGCACCGCCATTCGTATCGGCGCATCGATTCAAGATAAGCGATAGCAACGGCACGAGTTCCTCGCCGTGCTCAGGATGGCTTTCGCATATGCGCTTGATTGTATTGGCGCACACCACGTCCGTGCGCCAGTCGTTCAATTTACTATTCTGCTCCAATTTCTCCATCAAGGCGTTGGATAGGAAACGATAGCAGCGGGGATTGTCCTTTATCGCCGTTATGTAGAACTCGAATGTGACGTCGCTCAGCGGCCTCCCGCTGTTCTGCATCGTTTGCAACGTGCTGGTGATGATGCGCATGGAACCGAGTTGCGGGAAGGCTTTTAATAATTGCAACGTCGAAGCGCTGTCGTGAAACACTGTTAATTTGTGATTCACCAAGGACATCACATGCGACTCGAAGGACTTGATCTGCTTCGCTATGTTCAGGAGAATGTCCCAAGTTTTGCACACCACGAGGGGTTCCTCGCTATACAGAAAAATGCCGCACAATATCAGCTTGCAAGTGTATTTTAGATCGATCGGTGCAAGCGATAGATTCTCAAGCCACGGCATAATATCGTTGTTCAGAGAATGCAGACTGCGTATCTGTTCTGTGTAAAATAGGATGTACTTGTTATTGCGGCTAATCATACGCAGTATCTTGTTTGTAGCAGCAGCAGTATCATCACAAATACTGCTCGTTCTTGTTTGCCGTTGCTTTATTACGGTGAGCAGGTTTTTGAATTCGTCAGGGCACAACCATATCTTGTAAACCAACCACGTCAACAAGGGTACAGATAATACGTTTAAAAAAATTGTGTCGTACGACATCTGCTCGACGATAAGTGCACCTGTAATTATTTTTAAAAGATATATGATAATGAATATACAATGATAAGATTTACACGTATAAAGGGATATACGTGTAAAATTTCATCATATATTTGTATATTCGTATATTTAAATACATATACTTGCGTATCTTAATGTACTTACATATCCTAAAAACCTTGGACAAATAAACATTCGGACATATCAAGATTATTTCTGCCATCAAACTTATCATGAGATTTCCTATGTGACTGTCACAACTTTTAATCAATCTCAATAGTATGAAAAAATTATTTTGCGGATTATGGTTGCATTCCAACAGCTGTATCGTTACGGAGGCGATTAGAGGTGCCAATGCTGTGCAATATTCTGTATTTCCATTTTGCATAGATATCTCCGCGAGCTCGATCAGTCTACAGTTTGAATCAACACAAATGTCCTCTCGATTAGTGCACAGCCAGAGTAGAATCTCCATTTGCAAATCTGCAGCTTTATTAGATTTGATTACAAGCTGCCATGCCTCTGATTTGGAATTATTGACCACTTCCGTTGAGACGGGATCACATATTATGTATAAAAATACAGGCCGTAATATTTCTATACTATGTTCCATGATACTGCAATTCAAAGAGATTAAAATTTAATGATTCGTAAAAAGGTAACAAAAGTTGTTATGTTATAGGTTCTGAATATGAATATTTATATTATAAATTAATATATATGGATAGTTTTAATTGTAGAAACATACCATTTCTCATCATCATACATGATTTGCTTCATTTGATTCACCACACATATCCCACTGCGCTTGTTCTGCTTCAGAATTATAATAAATGGATGCTGATTGGGTAGTTGAAGAGTATATTCACTGCATCCATTGCATATTCTCCAGTCTAATGTTAACAACTGACTAATAGCTACAATAATTGCCTCGTAATTCCTGTAAATTAATATAATAATATAAAACAAAATTAATTTATATTGGATTGGTCTTGGAAAGTTTGCAGCAATTTATAATAAATAAAAAAAGCAATCAATGTACAGTTGTTAAAACCAAATGATATCTGTTGTGTCTCTACAGGTTGTTGAAAACATTAGTGTATACATTATTGAATAAAGATGAATAAAAAAATTGTTTTGATTTTATCATAAAAATGTGTGTGTGATAAATTTTCCAAACAATCTAATATATTATTCAACATATACATACTTTGAAGAACACATAGATGTCAAGGTTGCTAATGCAAGCTTAGCATTCCATAATCCAGTCTCAGCAAGTGTAACAAGTCCTTGACATGTGGATGTAACAACTGTAGGATTCTCATGGTTGATGCATTTTGATGTGAGAAATTTAAATTCTGGTATCTGTAAAACAGAAAAATGTGCAGGATATTTACATATTGTAATTAGCAACGCAAACAAGAATATTTATTACCTTTGAAATATCTTTTTCTTCCAATGCATCATATTTCTTCTTAATTATTTCATTAAGTATAGATATTGCCTGTAGAAAAAATTTAACAATTAAGCAATAATAAGTAGCATCGAATGTAATTTTCACGTATAATTAGAATACTCACATATGATATCAAAATAGGGTTTTCTGATTTCAAATTACACTCTATCTCGTCCATGCTTTGGGTGATATTATGGTACAAAAATTGTACATTAAAATTGAGCGTAAAAAAAGTTTTAAGCTATTATTCCTGTATTGTAAGATGACAAGTCAAAAATCAATCAAACAATACAAATGCGAATAAAATCAAAAGTTAAAAAATTAGGTTAAATTCGAACTTCGATACATCCACGCGGATCACTCAATGTGGAACTTTCTGAAACTGTACAGGACATCGATCATATAATTTGTCCTTACGCGCAGAAACGTAAAAAGTGAAAAATTATAAGACACACAATTTTTAGTCAAGATTCAAACCAAATGTTTGTTTGAGTTTTATATCATATGATGGAAATTACATCATATGGTGGCGCTTTAGCTGTCCTTCACTTAGGGACCCTAGAAGAGAAATAAAAATTGAGGACGCGATTAGGCGTTTTTTGGCTGTTTCACGTTCTTCAATTTTGATGTTGTCAGTGACGCCAAATTTGAGACGCAAGCAGCAAACAGCATGAAGAAGGAAATATCACACCCATGCGCAAGTCACATACATGTAAACTCCTCTTTAAAAAAAGACGTCCTTAAGACATCCTAAAAATGTCCTAAAAAAGACGTTTTTTAATTTCTTTAACAATTGGCATTTTGAATTTTGCAACAAAAAACTTTCTAAAAATGTTAAAAGAAACATTTTAATCACTTAAGTGTTTTACGAGCATCCTAACACTGTCAAAAGTAGCGAAAATAAGCTTGCCTTTGCTTGCCTCTCAAATTTGGCGTTTATACATTAAACGAGAATCTATTAATTTTATCTTATTTTATGCATATGGTTCTCTATGAGATACAAAAAGTAGTGTTTTTTTTACTATATTAAAAATGGTGATTTAAAATGGCGACTTTACTTAACGCATGCATGTGTGTACATGCGAAGCACGGAGCCCACTGACGTGGCTTGCGCATGATACAGTTACCCCTTCATTCCTACTGCTACTGTCTGCGTCTCAAATCTGGCCACACTGATTGTCCTTTAAACAGCACGAATCGCACGCTTCATTAGCACAATGGCAGGTTCGGCGCTTAGACGATTGATGGCTGAGTACAAACGTGAGAATTGGCTTTTTAGTCTCTTAGCACACTATGCTAGCGTTAAATTATTACACGCTGTGGCTTTCTCCACCGTTCTTTGTCGTGGAGCAATAATGCCTCAACTATGACGAACTTGCAGAGCTAACCTTAAATCCACCAGAAGGGATCATCGCTGGCCCGATTAACGAGGAAAACTTCTTCGAATGGGAGGCACTTATCACGTAAACTTTCCCTTAATCTTCTCTCTTCAAAATTCTATTGTCAGTCATCATTTTATTGTCATCAGTCATCGTGGTATTGTCAGTTTGACATTTGCTATATCATTGTGTATACTTAACTGTCTGTGTTTTCTACTTGAACCAAGTGGTCCATCAACATATTACGGTCACAACTCTAAAAAGTATTCTTCAGAAAAATCATTTTCAAGTTACAGCAAAATATTGTGTATTTTTTTCTGTAGAAAAATTTTGTTATTGATACATCTTTATTTTGCATTTAAGTTTTGACAGTCTTATGTTGACAGGGCAGGTTGTTGACAGGTCAAAGTATATTTGACAGGTCAGGTTGTTGACAGTATATTTGATTGATATTACTTTTGCGTTTGTAAAAAAATTTCTCTATAAAATTTTTCTCAAATCTTTTGGTATTAATTTTAACAGAATTGAATATTTTCAGCGGACCAGAGGGAACATGCTTTGAAGGTGGAGTGTTTCCGGCGAAATTAATATTTCCGCCAGATTATCCATTGAGCCCACCAAAGATGCAGTTCACCTGTGAGATGTTTCATCCTAACAGTAAGAGATTATGCGCTATTAAATTTATTAACCGTGAAATAAAATATACTTTAGCTTATAGCTTAGCAGTTAAGCAATTATTAATCGTACAGTAATATTTAAAGCTATTAACTGTGCGTAAAATTCCACTTCTCTCTTTCTGTTTAGTTTATGCAGATGGACGAGTCTGCATAAGCATATTGCATGCACCTGGTGACGACCCAATGGGTTACGAAAGCAGTGCGGAAAGGTGGAGCCCGGTGCAAAGCGTGGAGAAAATATTGTTGAGCGTAGTAAGTATGCTGGCGGAACCAAATGACGAAAGCGGTGCGAATGTGGACGCAGCCAAGATGTGGAGAGAGGATCGTAGCGAGTTTGAGAGGATAGCGCAGAAGTTGGTGAGAAAGACTCTAGGTATTCCACCTTAAAGTAGAACGTATATTATCTGTTAAAAAAAAGACAAAAAAAAAGAGAAAAAAGAAAGAAAGAAAGAAAAAAAGGCAAATTGGAACAATGGTTATTGTTAATTCGATGTCGCTCGATGAATGACATGTATGGAGGAATAAATTTTTATCTGTACAGTAAACGAATCCTTTCTGCGTGAATTATTTCTCGCGCATTCCTACTGTTTACCGCGCGACTGATCTCGCCAAGCGATCTTAAATTTCTAAATAAATTTCTACGAAAGGTACGGAGCTCCGGCTTTCGATGGTGCAAGAATCCACGGCGTTAATGTCAAAAGATGTGTTTTATTTTCAACATTGCAGTACAAACATGGGTAATCAAATACATGCGCGGTTACCTCGTACGCTTGCACATACCATTTCACTGTGAACGAACCGATAACGAAGGACAGGATTCGCTTCTCGTGTACTCGGATGTGTGATTGACGTTAAGTGTTAATACTTAAAATTACCAAATGATCCCACGAATTATCCTACGACGATGTTTAAAGTAATTATCACATTCGTAGATGGTGTTACGTTATTTCGCGTGTTAAAAATGTACATCGGGGCGAGAACTTAACGCATTCTGTCAACTAATGCACAAAAGGATACCCTTGATCCGTGAATGATACACACACGTAGATTAAAGAAATATATTTATAATATTTTACAAAGATGTCCGTGATAAAAACAAACGGAGTCGGCGGTTCTTTCACCGGGGAACGCCGCGTTTTAGAAGAATCGTCAGCAAAACAGGGACGCTGAATTGCTTGTATAGTCGGTTATCCTTATTTTTTTACCCTCTACGGAATTGTGCGAGTGCCGATCGAGAGATCGTCGACACGGTCCTGACAGAAATTCCGAAACGTATTATCGCATCGTATGTACAAAATTAAGAAATCCGCAGCAGACGTCTGATTATCGTGCACATCCCGCTCTGATAACAATCGAACTTGGTGACGAAGATGCAGGGTGTCCCGCCTAAAGCGTCCTTGTTCGACAAAATTTGAGGGAGAAATTTCCTTTTTTTTTTTGTTTTGGTTCCGAAGAGAATTGGATCTGAAGCAAAATCGTTTTTTTTTTTTTTTAGAAAGACGCTGTGGTACTTTCCTCATCCTTAGTGTTCCTTCAATTGTGACTTCGAGCTGCTTTGCGCAAAACACCCTGCACATTAGACTAGAATAAATAAATTAGTACACTCCTCGTCGTATACAGTGAGTGATCTTTGCGATCGAATTGCAGGTCTGATTTCCAGGATCAGACGAATCCATGTTTTGTAGCGATCAGCCCTTTCTCGAGCGTCTAACGCTTAGTCGTGTCTGGACATAACATGTACAAAACGATGAGTGCAAGTTGACCGCAAGTGCAATTGGCCAATTCGGCAAGTTTTGACGGAAACCCGGAAGAACGGAATCTTTCGTTCTGAATCTTTGGAAACGAAACTTGCTCGTGTTTCCCGCACTCAACCTTTGCAATTTGTTCCTATTCTTCCTTGCCTTTGGAATAAACGTCAGTAAAAATAATTGAATGCAAGACTTCGCACGTGAATTGGAGTTTTATTAGTAAACAATATAATTTGAAATCCAACTGAAGAAATGCAGTATTTTGTGACTAGCATTCGGCAATTATACATAAATAATAAGGTTTTAATGTACCTGCTTCATACAGCCGAAGTACAACATCTTGTAGGTTTATTTATCGTAATACTTTTTGATCCCTTTTCCTATATTCTGAACAATTTCCGAGACTCAAATTCTCCGCCTTGAAACACAGCACGTATACGTAATAAATAATCTTCTTACGCAAAATTACGTATCTAATTCGCCGAACGAGAATACACAGATGTTGTACTCTGAGCACAGCTGCATATACTTTGGCATATCAGAGAGAGGATGCATCTTACGTTCTGCGCCAAGCGACTGTACCGTCGATCGGGCCTCCGAAAGGATTTATTTCATGTTTTTCACAACCAGAAAGTTGGAAGCTTCGTTTGGCTTACAAGGTGTAGGAGAGAGTTATCACGCTTCGCATCATCGATCGATCGGAAAGCCGACTTACGCAACGGTGCCGAGACATTCTGTGCATGAACAATCGATTAGGCCTGAACGTTCGCAGCTAGCTCGCTTGCGGCGAGACGGGTCTGATATCGCGGCCCGCGGCCCGTTTATCAGTAATATCACATTTCGCTAGAAGAAGTGTACATTCAAAAGCAATCGCTCCTCGCAGCGCCCGTCGAAAGTGTTACAAATATACAAAAACGTTTGACACGTACACTTCCCGTCGCCTAATCGCGCGATCGAAAACGGGGGCTTGAGCTACCTGGATGAGGCCCCCGCTCGGGCCGCGAACGTGCCGCACTTTAGCGCTAAACTCGAGTTTTGTCGTCTGTCTAATCTCGATTGTTCATTTTCGAAAGGCGCCTTGGGCGCTCTCCATCGGAGAGTAATTATTACATTTAGCTTCGGCACGCTGTAGCCTCGGAAGGCCTCCGCCTGGCGCAGAACGCTACGTTTTTCCTTACAATTAATTCTTTAGAGTCGGTTGCATCAACTGTGGCTAACGAAAATAATTCATTAACGCTACCTTGCGAATAAATTAAACTTTCATTCTTATCTACACACTATCGGCTAGGAGGGGCGGAAGGGGAAGGATTGTACAATCTACGGAGAGAGTTAATTAACCAAAGTACAATTAAACCTCAGGGACAATTGCACTAACCGCGTTCGCGATCGCCGGTAATTTCAACGAGATTGTAACGATATAAATTAAATCGTCCCTCGATTGACCAAGTCGACTTGGATGAAACTAAGAATTGAAAAACTCAATTCAAGACAATTCAATTTAAATCGACCGAGTTGCAGTTGCGAACTAAAATTAATTAAGACTAACTAAGGGTTAAAACGCAGCTAATCGAATATTGCTCCCCTAATCTAACACTAGCACTAGAATCGCATTAGTTAACCATGCTTGTTAATGCAACTGACCCCTCAAACGCAATCTTATCAAATAATTCGCTCACGCTCTCTTAACAGCTAGAATTTCCTCGCAGACGAGGGCATACATCCGTGTATGTGTATGTGTGTTTATATGTACGCGTGTGTATTGTGTGTGTGTGTGTGTATGTGTACAACTTGTGCCGACATAAATACGCTCGTTATAAAACCTTACTAATTCTGCTCTATATACGTATACCTCCCTCTGTGACTGTGAGGTACTATGGTGCCATTATTAACTATACGCACATGCCTTATGAACCCCACTCGGGACTCGCCTAGTCCCTTTTGGACGATCTCGTTAATATTAATAGTAATCGTATTGCAAAATCTACTTGGTGAATACAAAATTTGTCATGTGTCTGTACGTATGTATGTTTGTGTGTGTGTTTGTGTGTATGTCTGTATGTTTGTTAATTAATACGCAAAAATGGAATTTCAAGCGACACACTTCCTAGACAAAGCTAATCATGTCAGCTTGCACTTGCGAAGTAATAAATCAGTTAACGAAACCACTCCTCGATGTCGGTTTGTGGAAAGAAACAGAAAAAAAAAAAGAGAGAAAAGTGGGTCTACGTATTCGCTGAACACGTCCTCACGATATTCGGCTACAAGTCGCAGGTTTTTTCCTTTGGAAGATCTATTGCAATACTAATGCCACGTTTGTTAAGCTCTAGGGAACATCGAAAGATGAAAATTGGTCGGAATAAGTCTCTATTTCGGAAAAGCTTGGAAATTTCGCATCACTTTCTTTGTAACTCTCTCGAAACGAGTTCGTATGTACAATTGAAACTAGCGTACGCAACTAATATTTAGAAACGAAGGAAACGCAAGTAAATAGAACGCGGTATCTCCACGATTGATTCGATTTGTTTCGACCAGTGTTATTGCACAAACAATTGCGCCTCAAGCTCGCTCGAGCACAAGAATAAACGCGCGATTACTTCAACTAATTGCGTAACACACGAAAATAAAGGCTAGAACAATTTCGCATAGCACCAGATCACTAATGTGTTTCGCCACCTCTCGTCAACTAAACTGTCGATCGCACGTAAAATCGGCGGCTACTTAAACGAACGAGCAACCGTGCAACGCTCGAGTCGCACACTTCGGCGATCCTTTATGCTAAAATTGCCGGAATTCCCTTTGGTTACATAGAGTCCGCGAGAGTTTATAATCGAGAGAACTTTCGATGATTTCGCGTGATCGATTCGTTAAAAGAACAGAGGGATCTTTGCAAAATGCGATTCGCACCACAGCTCTCATCTCTGTGTTCGTTAAGTTCGTCTTCTAATAGTTAATCTGAATTTAATGCAATCACATCCGGATACATCCTGAATGATCAGGGGATCATCATTTACAGCTCATCTCACCGTCGAGTTTAACCGGAAGCTCGGCTGCAACGTATAGACGCTCAATGTAAGTCTGCGAGCATTGCAACGAAATGCCGACGTTAACGCGCGCACAAGCTTCAACGGAAAATGCAAATATGGCACGCAAGGAGAAGTTTCTCATCCGACCGCTGTCTCTCTCTATATGTATATTTATATATTTATGTATTTATATATGTACTTATGTGTGTACGTATAAACGGATATTGTGCGTTGTTTATGTCACATGTAATCTTGCCATTTGTTACAAGTCGACGAAAAGGAACTGAACTAGAAGGGACTATACAGAACTTGCTTGCTCAGCTCGATCGCGCGCCTCTCTTCCTCTTTGTCTCTAAAAATTGTACTGTATAAATTAACGGCAACAGAGATGTGATCGTCAAGCGACATTTGACAAGGGATGAAGAAATGATTTCGTCGCGAAATGTCTCCTCGATTGCCCGCTTTGGTTAATGCCGACACAGCATCGCTGATCCGTCGATCTAGCCGCGACGCAAATGTGCGCGGAATCGCGCATCCGTTCGCCTCTCGAAGAAGGAAAACACGACCGACGTTATCTCGGAATGTCTCTCAGCACGCGTAGAGCGAACACGCGATATCGCAGCTCCTGTCCGAAAACGGAATGAAATCGATTCCTTTCCCTCGATAATCAAACCAGACAACTTGAGACGACCATAACTTGTAGCTTTAGATATACGGTGTGCACACGGAAATTTCTCTACGTTCCTCTACTTTCAAGTTTAATCACAATACTCACTTTACGAATGGATACGCCGCAAATCGTCAAAATAAAAAAAAATCACAGGCGCAAAATCGTTAACTTTACGTTTGTCACGTCGACGATAACGAAATTCTAATTCGGGCCACAAATTAAATTTTAGCATACGAGCGAAAATTTAATTCAACCAATTAAATTTCTGCACGTTAGCAAACATTAAATCATCGATTAAACATTAATCGAAATATAATTTAAAAAATTCTTAAATTCTCGCGCGCCAATAAACGTTAAATCAAAATAAATAAAATTAATTGCTCGCGCGTTAGCGCAAATTCGTTCGAGTAAGAAGATAAACCTTGGCACGTAAGCGAACAAATAATTGAGCCGCGAAGTGAATTAACGCGTGCCAATAACGTGTTAATGTAGCGACGGATGGTGCTCCACGTCAACCGAAACTCAATCGAACGATCTACGAAACTTTTGCGCGTCGGCAGAAATTGAATCAAGCGGCAATGCAAATTTCTACATGTTCGTGAAAATTCAATTACACATAAGCTGCGAATTGAATTTGCATCAACGCCGCTCGGTACGACGTTCGGCGCGAGAGTCTCTTTGCACAGAGAGCGGAGCGGGGGAGAGGAAAGTCACACGGCTGTACCTCACGACAGGCCCTGCGGCGTGAAGCAGATCTTCTCCAGCTCGCCGGTCGACGAGCTGACCGGCGACTCGGCCCGGTCGTCCTGCTCGGCCGCCAACTGCTCGCTGTAGTAATGAGGCGTGCTGAGATAATCGATGAGCCGGCGGGGTAGCGGCAGGGTCGGGATCAGGTCCCTGCGCACCATCTTCAGAATGACGAATCTGCAGGTGTGCTGCAGACTCTGGACCTGCTTGAATCGCGACACCGGATGCAGCAGCTGCACCCGCATCGGGCCCAGCACCGGTCGCCGGTGCAGAAAGAAGAGGTAGCGACCGCTGCGCGAGTGCTCGACCGCGTTCTCGATGAAGTCCACGATGGTGTGCGACTTGAACTTCGTGCAGCTGCCGAAGCTGAAATTACCTGCGTGTCGTAACGAGCGCGATTAAGAAGAGGCAAGTTTGAAGGATCGCGAAAGATGTTGTGGACGGTAAGAAAAGAAAAACGTACCCTGATCATGTTCTATCCTTACGTGTCGCACGCAACTGTTGAGTCTGAACGACAGGGAGAAGATGTAGTGATCGTCGCTACTGTCCCGCACGATGAACGAGCCGTCCGGCTCGTTGGAGAGTATCTTCTCGGCTGCCTCGCCGGATATAGGTCCCCAGTACCATCCGTACTGTTTTAAAAAAAAGAAGAGCACTTTAATCGGTGGCTTAAATTTCACCGACAATTAAACTTTTTCCCAATACGCTAGACTCTTTTCTATCGCAAACCCGACGAGCGGCACAACCGATATTTACGTACATCCTTCACTTTCTCGATGCTGGCGGCAAAGTCCATACTCGTATCCTCCGCGACGTCCTCCTCGGGCCGCACGATAGGCGGCGGGACTTGCTGCTTCACCGAGCTCGGGGACTCGCACTTGGGCGCCATCGCGGTGAGGGCCTCCTCCGCCTGTTCCACGCCCACCTGGCCGTTGCTCTTCGGCAGAGGCGGCAGAGCGCGCTTGAAGAACGGCAGCTTTTGCGCGGACGGCTCCGTCTCGGACGGAGCGGTGTTGTTGTTGTTCGCGTGCTGATCGGAATCGACGCCGTCCTCCTCCTCGACGATCTCACCCTGCACGATGCTGTTCCGCTTCTCCACGAAATGATCCGGCGAGCCCAGCCGTCGGAATCGGAAGATGTTGCACAGCGTCTGTTTGAGATTGAGAGAAAAGTTGCGCTGGCTCTTCTTCATCTTCTCCCGCTCGGACTCGCTCTTCTCCTTGTGCGATTCGTCGCGCGCCTTCTTGTGCCTGATGCCGACGAACGCATTCCTCTTGTGCTTCTTCGCATTGTTCGAGTTATTGTTGTTGTGATTATTGTTGTTGTTATTGTTGTTATGATGGTGGTGGTGGTGATGAATCATCAGCCCGTTACTGGTGCTCTTGTTGGACACCGGCGTGTCCGTGGACGAGTCCGTGTGCGCGTTACTGTTATACCTATTATTAAATATCAGTAGCGGTCATTAGATTGCAACAGGCAATTTAACATTAACAGAGAACGTCTAGTTTGAGAGCAAAAGTAAATGGAGCGAAACATCACTCGTAGCTAAAGCTCGTTATTTCTGAAAAAGACATTTCTTCACTCTTCACTAATCGACCAATCTACAATAGATTGAAATTATATCCTAATTTCTTGCATTGAGCTATAATTAACAAAATTAAATAATATAATAAGAAATGTAATACGAATACAGAGTCGGATAATAATTTGCAGTTTAAAGACGCGCCTACCTATTATTGTTATTTACACTGAGAGGCTTGGGCGTCGCGGCAAGGTGCACCGGTGTGTGAACCAGCAGCGGCGCCTTGTCTCGCTTGATCTTGTTCTCGCTGGAGTCACTGGAACTCGAGTACAGCGTCTGCAGGTACTGTCGCACTTCGTGCAACGTCATGTGGATCGGCTCGCCGATGTTGTGCGCGTGTCCATTTGACGTCCTGACACCGTGACGGCCGGAAGTACCTGGCACGCTGTGTCGTTTGCCGCCGCCGCCAGCACCACCACCACCGCCGCCGCCGCCGCCGCCACCGCCGCCACCCCCGCCGCCACCGCCACCGCCATTACCGACAGCAGGATTGCCGTCGTTGCAGCACACGTCGGCCAGCAAACGCTGCGACTTAATGACATGCGTGATGGCACGAGACTTGCCGCAGTAGTGTCGCGCCTGCTGGATGTGCGCCTCCAGCTCGCTCTGCGAGCTCGCAGACACATTTCGGCGTCTCTTGCGATGATGCCGGTGCCGTTTGGGCCGCTGCGGCGTTCGCAGATCGTGCAGCGGCCGCACCACGTCGATCGGCACCGTGTAGATGTCCGAGTCAAACGGCACGTTGTACATGTCGCTGATCTCGCTGGTGGTCAGCACATCGTGCGACATCGCCGACGTGATGAAGCTACTGTCGTCGGCCTTGTGTCCAAGCCCGGTGGTGTTGATAGAATTGTGCGAGCTGGACAACCGCGAGGATGCCAGCGAGCAGCGTGAATTCGGCCGGTTTAGTGTATTATACGGGGTGATGGTGATGGTGGCGGCACCCTGGCAGACCGGCGGCGTCATTAGATCCCACATGCGCTTAGGATTGGTCTGCTGAGCCCGCGTCACCACCGGAACTGGGTTGACAGCGGGCGCGATTCTTCCCTCCGGCCAGGAGATACGGCAAGAAATCACTAGCGCCTCCTCCACCACCGATTGCACCAGACTCTCGGCGTAGTCGTCTACCCAGCGCGGCATTCTTCGTCTCATTAGCCGCGCGTAGTTGAGAATCGGCGCCGACGAGGATTCCGAGTCCGGCGGCGACGGACTGTCCTGAAATTCAGGCGGCGGCTTGATCGCCACGTCGACCACTTCGACCTCCAGCTTGCCGTCCGCGTCACCCCAGCCCGGGCCCTTTTTCAAAGTGTTGAAGTTCTCGCCGCACATGCCGTCCGAATAATCAAAGGAATCTTGCGACAGAGACTTGCTCTCTATATCGCTTTCCTGCATCTGAAAGTTTTGTTTACACAGACTTAGTACACGCGACACAAAGACACCTGCATCTGTGCCATTGGAAGCGAAAGAGGAAAGTGTGAAGATGTGCTACCTCCATCGCAAGATGCGCTCGAACGGAGTCACTGGAAATTGAACCCCCCAAGCCGCTGCTACCAAGATCACTAAGAGGCCCAGCGCTTAGCGAACATGACGGCGGAGAGTCCATCTCAAGTCTCGTTAGTCTCAGCTGCGTACTGGAAAGTCTATAGTAACCAGAACTTTTGATATTTCCACATCACCTCCTAAAATTGAACGATGCGACTGTTATTGTCGAATTATATATTTTCTTCATTTCCGTACACCATTAATGCTTCAAATATTTAACCTGAAAAAAAGTACCACAGATAATGTACGACTGCTTTACAATCTCCATATTTATATGTTCACTTGTACTTGGCGCATGGTCCATTATGTGCGAGAAACCGTAATGATACTTTAAAGTGACACAGTTGACAGTCCTAAAACAAAAACATGATAGTGCAATCTGTGAGTTTTATGTAAAGAGATACATACAGGAAAGGGATGAGTCATGGCATATCATAAATATGTCATAACTTCACAAGTGAGTCATAGTAGTCAATTCTTGCAATAATAGCTCTCCCAATAAACAACACTCTTTGATTTGAAATCTAATCCACTTTAAGATATTTTTAAAATAATTACTTTCACGTATGGATTCTCAAAAATTCCGATATTTTTCTTAATAAATTAATAAAAGGCTCTCCAGCAACGTCACTCGACAGCTAACCCTAAGCCTGTCGACTCTGCGACGACGGATTCTCACCGCGTGCATTTAACGCTAAATACGGTTATCTCACGAATCTTGTCAGACTTGTCAGGGAACAGTTCAACGAAAGATGGAATGCTCCGATTTAGCGTTAAATGAACAATGACAAATTGCCCGGAGGCTAGCTCGAAGCGGCGCCCGGCGAGGAAAGGATTCGCGGTTGGTGCGCGTCGCACGCGGACCCGGGGAGACGTCGAAGACGGTACGCGCTCGCGTCGAAGACGCGAGTCGTGCGACGACGTGCCGTCAGCGCTTACCTTCGCGCTAAATCGGCCGCGGCGCGCTCGCGATCCGGGCCTCGTCGTCGTCGTCGTCGCCGTGGCGCGGGGGCACGCCGCTCATGATCGCCGCATGACGCGCGCGAAGCCCACGCCGGGGACCAATCGATATCTGCGGAGACAACACGGAGCAAGCCTCACGTTTCGCCTCGCACCATGTTCGGCTCGGTCCGGTTCGCCGCGTTCCGCGCGTCACGCCTAGGCAACCGGCGCTACCAATCTCGCCGCGCGGAATCGCGTTAGAGCACGAGAAAAAAACGATCGGTAATGTCAGCGCTCTGCATTTATTCTTTCGATAATTCAGGAAATTACTGGCGATTGATAATGCACATTTCTATAATTTTATACATCATGCGAGCGGCATATCTGGTCGGACATTTTGTTGGTCCGTGTATACAATGAAGGGGAAAGGGTTGCTGTAGAATGATGTTGCACACAACTGATTATGGCAGGAGGAGGAGAGGGATAGTGGATGATCGTGGTGCGACGACGAGAGGCTCGTGGCTGCGTGCAACGTTTATGTTCGATGCCTGATCAGTAAAATTGAGAAGCTCGCGCGAATCAATTTGCCAAGCTTCTAAATACATTTGACACTTAATTGAAATATGGCGGAGTACAGTGATAAGCTCTCCGCACTCGTACAATTTCGAAAATAGACAGATGTCAATGCGACAAGTGTGTGTGCGGATGTGTGCTGCTTATGTATGTACATGTGCGACTGCGTGTGTGCTGTCTGCTCTCGAAGAGTGATCGACGACAAAAGGTAATACATGACATAAAAAAATAATACTTATCTCTAAATTTGTCATAATATTATAAAAAAAGTTATAAAGAATATCTGAGATTATTATGACTGAATATTAATATCGGCATACAAAAATGTATACGTAATTGTTAGAGCGGTTATTTTTGTAACTTGCTGTTGACGTAGCATAACGAATGATTCTTGTGAAATAAAGCGGTGCAAAATAAGTGACAGTTTCGCGAAATTGCAGATATAAGTTTCGTGAAATGTAGTAAATGTAATACAAGCCGAGAGGAAGTAAGCTACTTGCCATTATTCATGTACAAAGATGAGATCTTAAATAGATTAGATAAGAAATGATTGTGTGATTTGTTTGCCAGAATTAAATGATAAGCATCGATTAATCTAATTTGTGATCTACAATTCAATCTTTAAATAATTAATCTAATTTTAATATGTAAAGATTTGTATACTTATTATTTATTTATGTAATATGTATATAGTATATTAAATGTATAATATATTTATTATTTATAGATTTAATATGCATTGTAGCAATTAAGAAGCAAAGAAAAACGTAAAGATGCTGCTGCAACAATTTGCAGATTTATTAAGCTTAATAACAATAGGAATGTGCTTTGTATTAAAAATTCCGCAAATATTAAAACTGGTTTCCGTCAAGTCGGCCGATGAAATATCCACGCTAGGATTGCTCTTAGAATTAACAAGGTAATTTTTTGCGTATAAAACAGTCTATCCTTTTTTTACAGTTATTTTCTTGTAAATAATTAATCTTATCTTTTTTTCAGCTACACTGTGATGACTAGTTATAATTACACGAATCGTTACTCGTTACTGTCTTACTTGGAGTATCCGATAATATTAGTGCAGGAATATATACTGATATACCTCGTTCTGAAATATTTGAATAAGATTAATATGTGGTCCTTCGTATGTGCCATAACGTATTTTACACTGAGCAGCTGTTTGCTGTTGGAAATTGTTCCAAAAATCGTACTTACATTTTTAGCGGTTAGTACTATGCAAATGTTGTAAATAATCTTTTTGTATGTTCTGCGACACGCTTATCAAAGAGCCCCATTTTGATTTTTAGCCAATGTGTACTCCGATTTCCGCTTCCAGTAAAGTCGTTCAATTGCTGGCTATACTTAGAGCTAAAAACGCTGAATCGGTGTCGCCTCTCACTTGGTTTATATCCGCCTTCACGAATTTGAGTAAGTTTTTACCTTTGCGCCTAAATTCCAGACATGGATTAAGCAACTATGTTTCAGCGAGGGTGTTCACGATATGGATGGATTCGGCTGACGTACTGTTGCTGGGGAACTTCATCATCTCGGTGCTGCTGAGTTCCAGCATCATGTTTTCCGCCCTTTATTACAGAAGCCGTCCGGTGAAGCAGGATTAAATCAACAGAAAATTACAACTGGGCTAGTCGCGAGAGCGTATGCTATAAAATTGACAACTTATGCTACATATTTGTTGAGAAAATTTTAACTGTAAAATTAAGAATATTCCACAAAATATAGTTTAGCTTATTGTTAGCTCTGACCAAGAAATTGTTAGTTCTCTCTCTCTTATATCAATCCAATTCCTATTCATGTTACCTTCCAAACCGAAACATTAAACAATATAATTTTATTAAACATTTTAGTCGAATATTAATTATTAAAATCAATGAAAATATTTTGAGATAATAGGTCGAAAGAACTGTAAACAAGATTCTGTTCTGTGGGAAACCATACGCATGATCTCGCGTGTAAAGGAGTTGATGCCATGTGGTCCCGATCTGCGTGAACCATCCTTCTGAATCAGTGATTCTTCTTCAAAGTCTCGTCTCACAAATTATGTCATTTTTGCAAGGAAGTAATAACGAGTTTTGTCATAAATTGCATTACAAACCGAAAGCATGGCATTCTTAGAGTATTCATAAGCAATACAGGAAAATATTTATAATTTGCAAAATCTATAAGAGAGGAGGCATGCAGAAATATCTGCAAGCACAGCATGTTTCAGAAGGTAATCGCAGCAAATTTCAAAGATTTCTCCTACTTCTTAGTTCCCCTATTTTTGTATTATGAGTTTCTTCGACAAATTCTCAAAAAATCTGATGGTGTAGGATGAAGAGGAGACGTAAGCAGCAACCAGACTCCAACTTGAAGACCACTGATCTGTGTTCCACCCCCACCGAGCCCTCCTCATCCGGCAACTCGACAGCGCTGGATAAACTCTGGTTTGGACAGTCGACACCGAGAAGGCACGCAAGCATCATCGTCTCTCTCGCGAGAGAGAGAGAGAGAGAGAGAGAAAGAGAGAGAGAGAGGAGGACAGAGGAGGGCGGACAAGTGGGGAAGAAGAGAGGTGAAGAAGAAAAAGAAAAAAACGACGGAGACGTACTTCCGTAGGAAAGGAACTGAGTGGTGTCGTATATCTGCTAGGGGGGGCGCGCGCGCGCTCGTCCGCCGGTCCCGTCCGTCGTCGTCGGTCGGTCGGTCGGTCCGTCCGTCCGACGGACGGAACGGTAACGTACCGTACCGGACCCGGCCCGGTACCCGGTTACCCGTTACCCGTAACCCGGTACCGGGACCGGGACCGGGGAACCGGAACGGTAAGGTAACGTTACGTTCCGTCCCGTCCGGTACCGTACCGTACGTACGGTCCGGGTCCGGTACCCGGTAACCCGTAACCCCGTTAAACCCCGTTAACCCCGGTTACCCCGGGTAACCGGTACCGTTACCCGTTAACCGTTACCGGTAACCGTAACCGGTACCCGTTACCCGGTTACCCGTTACGGTACGTACGTACGACGACGACGACGACGACGAACGTACACGTACTACTGTACTCGTCGTACGGAGAGAGAGAGAGAGAGAGAGAGAGAAAGAGAGAGAGAGAGAGGGACAGAGAGGCGGCAAGTGCGGAGGAAAGACGAAGGTGAAGAGAAAGAAAAAAAAAAAACAACGGAGCGATTCCTTGAAGGAACTCGAAGTGGTGTCGTACTATCTGCTACTGGCGGGATGCGGCTGCCGGCGATCCTCGCCGGCCTCCTGCTGGTCGTGCGGCTCTCCAGAGGCGAAATCCTGACGCCGCCGTACTTCAACCTGGCCGAGGGCAAGGAGATTATCGCCTCGGCTACATGCGGCGTCGACACTACCACTCCGGAGCTCTACTGCAAGCTCGTCGGCGCGAATGCTGACCAGCACGAGGATATCAATCTGATCCAGGGTCAGGTAAGCGAGAGAGATAAATATGAAAACACGAAAACAGAGTATAACGTTTATAACACGGTATACAATTCATGTTAATATCTAAACGTAATTCGGATTCAGGAAAATTTGGTGTATGAAAATTGAATAAATAAGAATCTTCATTGTTCAGCGAAGAGTATGGAATATCAAACTGAACATAAATTAATAGAATTATCGATTGTTATGTCGCAGGTTTTCGAATTTTTGTAGATCCACATTATCTCGTATTTTAATTTTAGATACAGTTTAATATTTAGAAATCGCTGACTTGTAATTTGCCGATAAAGTTCGTAATTTACACCAACTGAAGTCGGTTTAACGAACACTCTCGCGTGTTAAAGAAATCACGATATTTTCGTCTACAGTATTTGCACCGAATTTTATCTACTATCAATGAATTCTACGAGTCCAAGAGTTTATCGGCTTCGAGACGTCGACCCGCTTACTCAACTACTTTTTTCTTCTCTTTTTTTCTTTCGCGTAAGAAATTATACATATCGTCCAAATATAACTTGTCTAAACATTTACAATTATTAGTCGAACGTGTTTCGCGCTCTTTATGTCTCTCTATCTTGGAATTACGATAAGAGATAAATAATCGTCCGAGAAACATGAATGAAACCATTCGTAAAAGGTCGGCTTTCAGCAATCGAACGGCGGATGCAGAAAGGCGATTATTAATGAAAGTTTGAGGCTGTTATTATCCAACAATTTTTTTTGTTTTACATTATTTTTTTTTATTATATGAATTTTATTATATTATACATTTGATATTATGATGTGTCATTATGCAATCATGCAATTCAATATTTTGGGGCAAAATTTAAAAACTAGAATTTTGTGCAAAATTTTAACAAACATTTTATATAAATGCTAAAATAATAATGATTAAGAATAGAATGATTTTATACATTCAGCAAAATTCCTGTATATTTTGATTTCAAACTATGATTGCAATTCTCAAGCATATAATCGCCGTTCTCGGCTGCTCGAAAATTAATACTCTCGCCGGCCGGCGGTATAAGCGTTTTGTCGATCAGGACAAAGGACGATTACAAGGCTTCCCTAAGAAAGACTCAATAAAAAACCAGTCCGCGCAGGATCTATGATTGTGTTCGAGGAATGCGATAAATCCGCAGGATTGCATCGCATTTTCTGCATGCGCAACAGTTCAGTTCTCCGCCGTTGAATCGGAAATAGAAACCGCATGCGCGAATGTTTTTATCACAGATATAAATAATTAACTGCTAGTTTGTGATTTATCTGCGATGATATTAATGATATCAAGCCTGAAAATGTGTGTCAATTGGTATCGTAATTATTAAATGTTCATCAAGGACTGCATTGCATTATCATAATTTAATTGCTGCAATGTTGGTGCAGCATCATTCTGGACCGTTAATATTTAGATCGCTTTACAACATGTGTACCTATATATGCAAGTAAAAGAGGGCTACGCGCGAGGCAGAAACGGAAGATAAGAATGACCTCTCGATAACCCGATCGTTCACCCATCCGAAATTAAGAAATTCTTTGTGTCACGGATGGCCTATATAGATTTTTAAAAAAGTCTTCATCTATTTTACATATCTATCTTCCAATTATTCTCTAATGTTGCTTTTTAAGATTAAAATTCACAATCAAATATGTTTTTAATATTTCTATATAATATGAGAGCGACAAAAGAGCAATAAAATTTGCAATTTATCTGCATTTGTATTCAAAGTAGATGCCTCAACTTTAGATTTATTTAACGAATTAATTGTTTCTTTCTCTTGTTTTTTTTCATAGGTATGTGATCATTGCGATCCTGACATTCCGGAGAAGGGACATCCGCCTGAATATGCGGTCGATGGTATGGAAACCTGGTGGCAATCACCGCCTCTATCCCGAGGGATGAAGTACAACGAGGTGAACCTGACGATCAATCTGGGACAAGTAAGTTTTTGGATAAAACGTGGAAATTATTACGCGAAAACTCGCGAAAAACATTGAAAACGGGTGTGATTCAAGAGCGACAGGAAACGATGAGGCGCGAACTCTTTTATCGGCGACATAAACATTCTATCGCATCGTAGGCGGTTTCCTGCAAGTGGGAAGATTTATCTTTAATTTACTTCCGGGGGGAAATGATGAAAAAGCCCGAGTTTCGAAGACAAACGTGGTGAAATTAATTCTTTCATTATTCATTAATTAATATTATTTTCATCGTGGAAAATTATCTATATTTTTCTCAAATTTCTTGCAAATCTTGCTTCTTTCCAGAAAAGGCAAAAAAACACAACAATTATGTATAAATCTGATTTGATTTCATAATTTAATCAATATAAAGCATTTTTATATTTATCATATAATTCTGTCGGCGTGAATAGCGATCAAGAAGTTAACTGTAGGCCAGACGTAACTTAATCCGTGATGCAACTGTTATCAGAGGCGCAGTCTTACACGTGGAGGTTGCCGCTTCCTCGCTAATCACCTACCTAGGCTCATTTACACCGTTTTGCTATCTGCTGTGTCTGCTTCTCCTCTCTTTTGTCTCTTTATCCCTCCTGATATTTTTTTCTCTTTCTTTAATCACTTACTTGCATAAGCATTTTTTCATGTAACATTTTATCTCTCACCTTCTCCGTCTCGGCATTCTGTTTTGTTAAATTCATAAGCATTCTTCAGTTTTCAAATATGGAATACATATTATACGAGATTATTTATTACATGTTTTTTGTTTGTATATATAAAAATTGTTATATACAAATTTCTTCCTTGAACTTTCATTTCAGGAATTTCACGTAGCCTACGTCTTCGTGCGCATGGGTAACTCACCCCGGCCAGGACTGTGGGTGCTGGAGAAGTCGAAAGACTACGGCAAGACCTGGTCGCCCTGGCAATATTTCTCGGACTCGGCTAGCGATTGTATGACGTACTTCGGCGTGGACAGCCACAAGCCGATCACCCGAGACGACAGCGTAATCTGTACCACCGAATATTCGAAAGTCGTACCGCTAGAAGGCGGCGAGATCCCCATCTCGATTCTGAACAATCGACCTTCAGCGAAACAGTATTTCAATTCGACCCTCCTGCAAGAATGGACGCGTGCGACGAACGTGCGCTTTCGATTTCTCAGAACGAAGAACCTACTGGGACATTTAATGTCTGTTGCGAATGAGGATCCGACTGTCACCAGGAGAGTAAGTAGCACAGGTTGCTCTTGAATTTGAACTCTTCGATATCCGATTCTATAAAATCATTTAGAACCAATTTATAACTGTCGCATTGACATTTTAGTGATGGATGAGAAATATCGGTAAGCGTTCTGAGACGCTTGTAATTAAAATTAGCTTGTATTAATTAAATATTAATTAAGTAATTAAGATTTCACATAAATTCTTGTGTCTTATAATTTGATTTCTTTGTCCACAGTACTTTTATTCAATCAAGGATATCAGCATCGGCGGTCGTTGCATGTGCAACGGCCACGCAGACACATGCGACATTCAAGATCCCAACATGCCGAAGAAGTTGGTCTGCCGGTGTCAGCACAACACCTGCGGGCCTCAATGCGCCACGTGTTGCAAAGGCTTCGAGCAAAAGAAATGGCGGCAGTCCACAACATCCAAAAAATTCGTATGCGAACGTAAGCACGATCTATTTTCTTGTCAAAAATACAAGGTGTATTAAAGAAGTAATAAGACTAAATTTTTTTCTCAATAACATAGTTCTTGAAAGAAATATTTAATCTCATTACATTTTCAAGGGTGTTCGATACCTTAAAAAAGTAGCGAGAAATCGTGGTCTCTTCTATCTTCTAACATAAGTATATTCCATAGATATCAACTTTATTTGCTCGCGATTATTTTACTCAATTTGTGAATTACTTCGCTATAATTGATTTTCATTTTTCTACATCAAAGCAATTTATTAATGGTTTTAAATTTATTGAAATAAATTTAATAAAAGAAATGCGGGTCACATTTTTTTAAACATACCTAAATATTGTGAATTACTAAATATTACAGCCTGCAACTGCTTCGGCCACTCAAACGAATGCATCTACGATGCGGAAACCGACGAGAAGCACTTGTCGCTGGACATTCACGGCAATTACGAAGGCGGCGGTATCTGTCAGAACTGCAGACACAACACCGAGGGCATCAACTGCCATCTCTGCAAGCCGAAATTCTACAGACCAAGAGACAAGCCGCTGAATGCAACCGACGTGTGTCAGCGTAAGTCCATCTGTGATGCAAATTAATTTCCGTAATTTCGCAAAACTTGTATATATGTACATTTATAAGCTGGACTTTGCATATACGTTTGATTAGCTTGCAACTGCAACTACTTTTACTCAACCGGAAACTGCGCCGACTCCACCGGAAAGTGCGAGTGCCGGCAGGAGTTCAGTCCGCCAGACTGCGATTCTTGCAACTACGGATATTTCGGGTATCCAAACTGCCGCCCCTGCGAGTGCAACTTGCAGGGCACCGAGGGTTACCACTGCGAAGCTGTGGACGGCTATTGCCCCTGCAAGCTAAACTACGCCGGTCACTATTGCAATCTTTGCGCGGAGGGATACTACAACTTCCCTGATTGTTCGCGTGAGTGAATCTTTCAAAGCTATCCTCAAAATTCCCAAAGTAAAGATATCTGAAAAACAATCGATCGTTATGATTTTAGCCTGCAACTGCAATCCTCTGGGCGCCCTGCATTCAGTCTGCGACGTTGTATCCGGCAACTGTACATGCAAAAACAACTACGGCGACAGAACGTGCGACATTTGCGAGGACGGTTACTTCAATTATCCTTTCTGCACATGTATGTCAAAATTTTAATTGCTTGTAATTTATTTCAAGCGAAACGTACAGCTACTGCAGAATATTCGATTTCGACAATAACAAAAACTAATTTGGTATTCGATAAGCTGGTTCTTGGCGGTAACTTGTACTCCTCGTTTATTATTGCTGTTTATTTTATAACAATTAAACATTTTCTTAATAATAGAATATTTAGACATCATTTTCTGCATAGATATAAAATTTGAAAATTTTTAAATGCAATATTTATTTTCGACACGGATTTCTTTTTCAGACTGTAATTGCGATGCGCGCGGAACGAAGCCCGGTATTTGCGACAAACAGGACGGTGTTTGTCTGTGCAAGGAAGGATACGGCGGCGTCAGGTGCGACCAGTGCATCCCCGGTTACTACGGCTATCCGAACTGCAGACCGTGTAACTGCAGCTCTGTCGGCTCGTCCAGCATCAGCTGCGACATTACGGGCAAATGTTCATGTCTCGCCAACTTCGCTGGAAAGACCTGCAGCCAATGCAGTCCAGGATACTACAAATACCCCGAGTGTATCGGTGAGCAATTCACGCTGAATTTTCCTATTTACAATAAAAAACAATTTTTTAATCCCATTTATTTAATATTTAAATATTTTATTTCACTCTATTAATTAAATTTCTTTAAATTTCTCGATTTTAGCGTGCAATTGCGATACTCACGGCTCGATCGGCGTGTCCTGTGACGGCGAAGGCAAGTGCCAATGTCGCGAGAACTTCGACAGCACCCACTGCGAACAGTGCAAGGAAGGTTATTACAATTTCCCCACTTGCGAGGGTTGCAACTGCGATCCGTCTGGTATTGTCGCGACTTTTCAAGGCTGCGGTTCTCTGCCACCCGGCGAACTTTGCCAATGTAAAGAGCGGGTCGAAGGCAGGATATGTAACCAGTGCAAGCCGCTCTATTGGAATCTGCAGCCTTACAATCCGGATGGTTGCGAAGGTTTGGATTTATTTTGAGAGCATGACTTTTTATCAGCAGTACTAACTGTAATTATCGTTATATAAATATTATAATTTATAGTATAAATTCTTTTGTAGCAATTTTAGAGAATAAACATAATTTATAAGTACAGTAGCGTCATTTGAAAAAATATCAAATGATATACGATTGTAACAGCACAGCATTATATGAAGAACAGACGAGATAATATGAGGTTTACGGAGTGAAAATAATTATTCTGAATATGAAAGAAATAGATAGATAATATTTAGAAAGAAATATACAATTTTATTGCATAAAGCGTGTTTGTGTTTAAGAATGCCACTGCAACATTCCCGGAGTTATCGGCAGCATCGGCGAGTGTGACACTAAGACTGGACAGTGCATATGCAAGTCTAGCGTGACCGATAGAGGCTGCAGTCGATGCGTCGACGGCACGTACAACCTTCAGGAGAGCAATCTCTTTGGTTGTTCTGGTATGTTAATCGACTCTTCTGCTGCGTAAATTAAATTAAATGCGCGAATTAACTTAAATTTTTAACACCGCGCGTCTTTTATTAAGACTGCTCCTGCGACGTCGGCGGTTCCGTGAGTCTCATATGCGACAAGCAGACCGGCCAGTGTCCTTGCCAGCCGCGAGTGACCGGTCTCACATGCAAGGAGCCTCTAAAGGCGCATTATTTCCCCACTCTTCATCAGTACCAATACGAGGCTGAGGATGGCAGGACTCCCAGCGGCAGCGCCGTCCGTTACGGCTTCTCCGAGGACCTTTTCCCAGGCTTCAGCTGGAAGGGCTACGCCGTCTTCTCCACCCTGCAAGACAAAATTGTAATAGGTGTCGGTATCGGCAAGTCTTCGGTCTACCGCATGGTCCTACGCTACGTGAATCCGAACAACGAGCCAATCCTCGGCACCATCACCATCGTCCCCGACAATCCGTCCGAAGTGGAGCAGCAGTTCAAGGTGAATTTCAAACCGACCAGCCGACCGTCCTTCGTGACGGTCGCCGGAACGCACGGCAACCATCCGTCGCCTATGGTGATGAACCCCGGGCACTGGTCCGCCAATATCGCCACGCAGAAAAGTCTGTTCCTCGACTACTTGGTTCTGCTGCCGTCCGAGTATTACGAGGGCGGCATACTGACGCAGGATGTGAACGTGCCCTGCGAAATTGGCTACAAGGGACTCTGCAGGCATTACGGATACCCGAATCTGACACGCTTCGACTCGGTTCACGGCGCTGGCGGCTTTCTCAGCGACAACAACGCCCGCATACCGCTGAGCGAGTATTACACTGATCTTGAGACTCTGCGGGAGATCGGCGAGAGCGAGATGCCGCTCATTAATGACCAGCAGGAGGAGATCCATTTCGATCTGAGGGTCAGCAAACCCGGTCCCCACGTTCTCGTCGTGACTTACGTCACTCCGCGGGATGAGCGGGCCACGTCGGTGCTGCTGATCGAGGCCAACACCGTCGGCAAAGGCAAGGCCACGTTGAACCCTTGCAGATACACCAGCACCTGCCGTCAGGTCGTCACAGACACGTACGGCAAGGTGGCAGTCATGAATTTCGCGTCGAATTACGTCAGCCTGGTGCTGACCGGCGAGCGAAATTCAAACGTCGCGATCGACTCGATAGTGGCGATTCCCTACCACCAGTGGTCGCTGGATTATGCGAAGCTCAAGTCCATCTGCGTGAGGAAAAACGGCAAGTGCGTGCAGGGACTCTTCCCCGGCGCCGCCGAGGCGAAAAGGATCGAATTCGAGACGTCCAGCGGCGTCGCCGAGTCTGAAAACCGACCTTTCGGCATCTACGACAACGCCACTAAGCTGATCTATCTAGGCGACAATGGCATGATGGTGGATATTCACGCGAAGGTCTCCCAGCCGGGAGACTACGTCTTCGTGGTGCAGTACTATCAGCCGGATCATCCTCAGTTCGAGCTGGACGTGCTGGTGCAGAACGGCAAGTTCTACGAGGCGAAGGTGCCGGTGCCCCACTGTCCCAGTAACAGCGGCTGCCGCAGCATCGTGCACCAGATCGACGGCGGCAGCACCAGGTTCCAGCTGATCGAGAACTTTGTGCTGACGTTCAAGGAGCCCGACGACGGCCGCGGCATCTGGCTGGACTACGTATTGGTGATCCCAGCGGATCAGTACAGCGACAAGATCCTCAGTAAATTACAGCTCGACGAGACGAAGGAGTTCATCAAGCGCTGCGGCAGCAACCACTTCCACATCAACGTCACCGAGGACGACTTTTGCCGCGACTCCAGCTTCTCACTCACGGCCAACTACAACAACGGCGCGTTGCCGTGCAACTGCGACGTCGAGGGCTCCACCAGCTTCGAGTGCGAGAAGTTCGGCGGCCAGTGCCCGTGCCGGCCCAACATCATCGGCAGGCGATGCGAAGTCTGCCGAACCGGGTTCTACGGCTTCCCGCGGTGCAGACCGTGCAACTGTCCCATAACCGCGCTCTGCGAACCCGGCAGCGGCCGGTGCATCTGTCCGCCGCGAGTGACGGGTCAACGTTGCGACCAATGCGAGATCGGCACCTACGGCTTCCACCCGATCATCGGCTGCGAGGAGTGCAACTGCTCGCCTCTGGGCGTGCTGGGCGGCGATCTGCAGTGCGATCTGTTCGACGGCGGCTGCCGCTGCAAGGAGAACGTGGTGGGTCGTCAGTGCGACCGCTGTCTCGCCGGCTACTCGCAGTTCCCGCACTGCGAGCGCTGCGACTGCGACTCACGTGGCACCACCGGCGACATCTGCGATCAGTACACAGCTGAATGCTTCTGCAAGGCGAATGTGCAGGGGCTGGCGTGCGACGTGTGTCGCGAGGGCACCTTCGACATTCAGACTGACAACGAGGAGGGTTGCACCAAGTGCTTCTGCTTCGGCAAGACCACCAGGTACCTTTATTTTATACGCACCATTGAAAGTCCATCACCTTTAATGCACAATTTTTTAATCTAAATCTTTTAAAAATCTAGAAATATGTTTATGCCAAAATACTTCATTCTCATGTATAGTATATTGTCATTCTTATTTTATTTTGTTTATAATTCTTGAAATTACTTTGTGAGTATTTTGTATGATTATTACTTCCTCTTGTTTATTTGTTATTCAGAAAGAATGTTATCTTTTAGATCCTCATTTTATCATCATAATAAAATTAAGAAATTATTGCTTATTACATATTCTTTTAGGTGCGCTTCGGCGAGCCTCTACTGGACTCACCACATCGACATGGCTGGCTGGGAATTGATCGTGCCCACCGACAAGAGCGGCAACTTCAGCAATCTGTCGACCTATCCTGAAGAGAACACCACCACAATCACAGTTTCTCTTACCACCAACGACACCTTCGAGAACGTGGTCTACTTCTCAGCTCCTGACACCTACCTGGGCAAGAAGTTCACTTCCTACGGCGGCTACGTGAACTACACCGTCTATTACACGACGGGACCTTTCGGCAAGGCCGTGAGCGCCGCCGACGTGATTCTTCAGGGCGCCAACACCACGCTTTTCCACTACGCCGACGAGCAACCGCCGTCTTTCGTCAACTTTAGAGCATCCCTACGCCTCGTCGAGGCGAACTTCGTGACTAGCAGCCGACTCAGCGCGACCAGGGAACAAATTATGGTGGTTCTCGAGGATCTAAGTGGATTGTACATACGCGCTACATACTGGGATCCTAGCATCACGGCTTCGTACGTGTCTTCCAACAGCTTCAAGTGTTGAAACGTCGTAGAATCGTCGTTTTCTCTTCACGATAAGTATCTTTACAGATTATCGTACGCGACTTTGGACATCACAACGGAGCAGTACTCGCCCCAGTACAGCGCCCCGGCTAGCAGCGTGGAGCAGTGCCAGTGTCCGCCTAATTATCAAGGACTCTCATGCGAGGAATGCGCTCCAGGATTTTACAGAGTCAAATCGGGACCCTACGGAGGATACTGCGCGCCCTGCCAGTGCAACGGCCACGCCAGTACGTGCGACGTGAACACAGGAATCTGTCAGGTGTGTGAATTGAGAAATTTCCACAGAACTCCCCAGATTTTCTTTCATTTTATCTTTAATAATAATTTTTTATCTTCATTACAATTTTTTAATATCTTGCAGAACTGCAAGGACGGCACCATCGGCGCACATTGCGAGTTCTGCGAGCAGGGCTACTACGGCAACGCCACCGTCGGCACACCGACGGACTGTCTGATCTGTGCGTGCCCGTTGCCGTTCGCTTCCAACAACTTCGCCACCGGCTGCGAGGTGAACGAGGAGGGCAATAAGATCAGCTGCGACTGCCTGCCCGGCTACTATGGCGCTCGCTGCGAGGCCTGTGCCGCCGGTTTTTACGGCAACCCCGAAACGTACGGCAATCACTGCAAGCCGTGCGAGTGTTCCGGCAACATCGACACCAACCAGATCGGCTCCTGCGACAGCATCACCGGCCAGTGTCTGCATTGTCTTAATAACACCTACGGTGAGGCGTGCAATCTGTGCGCACCCGGTTACTTCGGCGACGCCGTGCAGCGGAAGGACTGCCGCAGCTGCGTGTGTGACGAGTGCGGAATGGAGCACTGCGACAGTTACAACGGGCGGTGCTTCTGCCAGGAGAACGTGATCGGCGAGCAATGTGACCGCTGCGCACCCGATCATTACGGCTTCAGTGGCTGCTTGGGCTGCACACCTTGCGACTGCGACGCGGCCTCGATGAGCAGCCAGTGCGATGACGAAACGGGACAGTGCGAGTGCGCGCCCGGCGTCACCGGTCGCAGATGCGATCAGTGCATCCCGGGATACTGGAATTACAGTCCGAATGGATGTATATGTAAGTTACTTCTCTTATCATTGCTTGATCAATCGCAGCGCACTGTTCGACTACAGAAAGATCGATTTGGCGCGGCTTAATAAAGTGTAATAAATAAAATAATTAGTTATTAATTTGTGGAGAATTAGAAATCAATTTTTATACTTATTCTGATGAAATATAAAATCTTTCTTTCAAAAATATGATACAACAAAAGAATATTTCTATATATCTAATTACTTATTTAATAAAATAGATATTATCTTATAATATTAAATATTTATATCATATTTAATACAATGTATAAGTAATAATTTTATAAACAGGGCAGATTCAGCGAAGTATTTCATTTATACTTGTTTTAAATCAATCAACAATTATTACGATAAACCAAAACTTTCTTGGATTAATTATCACACTTATCTCTTTTAGCGTGCGAATGTCACACTGGTTACTCCGTCGGCGTGTCTTGCAACGCAACCACCGGTCAGTGCTCTTGTCTACCTGGTGTGATCGGCGAAAAATGTGATCACTGCCCGTATCGACACGTGCTTATTCCAAAGCAGGGTTGCTTCTCTTGCAGTTCTTGCACAGGAAATCTTCTGGACGTCACGGATGAATTGGCCGATTTGCTGGAGCCTATCTCCCGCGAGTATAGTGTAAGTAAAGAATATCTCTCTCTAATATGTGAAATGTTCAAAAATTTGCGAATTAAAATATTGTAAAGAATAATATAATATTTAGATATTTAGATATGGCATTTTGAATAGAATTATCTTCAAGCGCAACTTAATATGTTTCTCAATGTACTTTCAGACGGTGGCGGAAGGTTACTTCACGAACCAACGGCTCAAGTTTATCAACGACACGGTCAACGAGCTTCATCCCAGCGTTGAACTGCTGGACCCAAATCGGGTGAATCTGCTGCCCTTGCAGAAAAATCTAAGCCGACTGGAGCACGAGATATACAATCAGAAACGGCGGATCGACTTCACAGCCGAGGACAGCGTCAAGTGGAAGGACGGCGCGGAGGACACGCTGCGCAATATGAACGCCTTGGAAGAGGATTCGGTGCGCAAGATCGATCTAGTGAACCAGATTGTATCCGAAGTGCAGTCGCTGGCGCAGAACATCGACGTGGGAACAAGCGCCAAGGACGACAGCGCTCTCGACGAGGCGAAGGAGATTCTGAAGAAGATCAAGAACGTTTCCTTCGTCTCGGCGCGGGACAAAACCTTGGACCAGTCGGATCAGGCCAACATTCTGTTCTCAGAAATAGAGACGTACAGCTACCCGGTCAACAATCTCACCTTTGACACGCTCGATCTCAGTAACAGAATCAACAACGCCAGCGCCAAGATGGATGATCTGCTGAATCTCACGCAGGAGGCTCAGAAGAAGGCCGTCGCGGTGGATAGACTCAATCGCGAGAACAGAATCGCCGCGCAGACCGGCAACTTGGACGTCGTAAGAAATTACACGGCCGAGGCGAAAGAGGACTTGGTGGCCGGAGAGGAGCTCAACAGGAACGCCAGCCAGTTCCTCAACGACGCGCGGGACAACATTAATATTCTGGGTGAGTGTCATCCTTCGATCGCGATATTCTCATAGTCGTAGAAATGACAGTATGAATGACTTTTCACTTTTAGAAACCAACGCTGTTAACAAGACGATCGCCCAGCTCAACGGCACTATTGTTTACAACGATGAAGAGTTGCAGAAGCAGGTTGACTTGGTGCAATCGGCCCAAAATTACTCGATGATACTGTACAATCGTTCGATAGCGTTGGACGCTCTGCTAACCGATACTCGTAACACCGACGCGGTGAGGGCTGTTTCGGCATACAGGGACATCGAAACCGCGATTCAAGCTGCGAGAAACGATACGGACGCCGCCTTGATCGCTATCGACAACGCGTCATCGTTGGTAAGTAGTTTGTAATTTTCACTTGCCTGCTTAGCCCCCACAAGTGTTTCATTTATTTTAACTGATTTATAATTCCATTCGCAGTTGGACGGACTTGAGGAAAAGGTGAAGAGGGCCGAGGACGAGTGCACGACGTTGATGAATGATGCGATCATGGTTCTACGGAAGACGACGCAGGATGACTCGCGAGACGCAAGGAACAACACGGCTCTGATTGACAGTCAAAACAAACGCAACAAGGAGATTCTCGATTCCGTCACCAAGTACGACTTTAATCTCAAGCTATTTTCATTTTTTACAACTAAACGTAGAATTGATTTTAAATACATCGAGTAATAAATGAAATGCGTTTCAAGATAACGTGTCGAAGCACGTATAATGTACGCGTTTGTGCTATTAGAGAGTAAAATATTTTACTGTGTATCAAAATAGAAATTGCAAATAAAAATTACAGGATTCTCGAAAACATTCCCTCGCAATCGTCCGCCGTTGTGAAAGGCGCTATAGAGCAGGCGGAGGACGTCGAGTACAACATCAAGACTGCCGTCAGCAACATGAACGGCATCGTCGATAAGATCCCGGAAGACTTGCAAGAGGCGAAGCAGCTTTCGAAGAACACGTCGGAGTCGATCCGCGACATCTCGCAGGCGAACAAACAGCTGGACATTGTGGACAAAGTGCTGCCGAACATCACCAGTCTGCTGAACAGTCTAAGTGGCAACAAGGAGTCGATCGATTCGAATAGGAACGATCTGCAGGACAAGATCGCGGCGCTGAGGAACAAGATCACGAACGCCCGAGAGCTGGCCAATCGATTCAAGAACGGCTTGACTTTCTACAGAAACACCACTTTGGAGCTGAAGAATCCGGAGAGTCTGCCGCTGCTGGACACGTCCACTAAGATCTCCCTGTATTTCAGAACCAACAAGACCAACGGCTTCCTACTGTACCTCGGCAACGAGGAGAAAACAAAATTGCCGCGCTCCAAGACGGTGAGTCTAACAACGTAAAATCAAATGATGGAAGAATTTAAAGATTGAAGGAGAATATTCTCGACGATAATTTTGCACTTCGCAGCATGACTTCATGGCGCTATTGATTGAGAGCGGCTATCCCGTGCTCATAGTCGATTTGGGATCCGGACACGAGAAGATTATTCACAACAAGTTCGTCTCGGACAACGTGTGGCGGCAGATAATCATCGACAGGTTGATATATTAGCCATTCGATCTAATCTTTAATAACGTAGTAGCCTTGCGTTCACGTATCTCGAACTTTTTCTCTCAGGATCGGCCGAAAGATCAAGCTGATCGTTCGCGAGGACATCGGCGAGGGCGAGGAGAAGCTGCACGAGAAGGAGCGAACCCTGCAAGGCTCCTATTACATGTTCGACGTGGACCAGGAGCACTCGAAGCTATTCGTCGGTGGCTACCCGTCATCCTTCGGCATCCAGGACGCCGTAACCGCGTCCTCGTTCGAGGGTGAAATGGAAGAGCTGGTGATAGGCGACATACCGGTGTCCTTCTGGAACTTCGTCGACGGCGAGAACAATTGGAACAGCGCGATCGAGCGCGACAAGCTCATCAACTTCGCGCCGAGCACCGGCTACCGCTTCGACCGACACGGCTACGCGATCCTCAGCAAGAGAAGCTCGCAGATCTCGCCGGACACCAAAAAGTTCAGCATTAAGCTGTCTTCAAAACCTTCGCCGAAGATGGGCTGATCTTCCTGATGGGCAAAGGCAAGCAGTTCCTGTCGCTCGAGATGAGAAACGGTCGTCTGTTGTATCAGTTCGACCTCGGCGAGGGCGAGATCGCCTTGAAGTCCTCGGACACGTATAACGACGGTAATTGGCACGTCGTGGAGGCCCTTAGACAGGAAAGGAAAGGCGTGCTCAAGGTCGACGGGCACAGCATCGTGTCGAGAGAGGCGAAGGGAACCATCAAGACACTGGTCTCGTCGGATCACATTTACTTCGGCGGATATCCACCAAATGCGAAGCATCCCTATCAGCCGGTCAGCAGCAGCGGCTTCGAAGGCTGCATCGACAACGTCATCATCCGCGACACTTCGATCGATCTCACGCGCAACGTGCAGGCATTCGGAGTTATGCCTGGCTGTCCCGTCAGGGTAATTAATGAGATTTTAACTGTTTCGCTGAATGCAAAATTATAGGTATGAAAATTTCAGACAAAAATTCAGAAAGCGATCTCAGCTTCTTATTTGGAATAAAATTCAACTTCTCTGCTTTAAGCTTCTCGTTTTCAATTTTCAAGTATATCGCTGATTCTTCGAATTGTTTTTTCTTTTTTACAGTTCGCCAGCCTGGTTTCCTTCGAGAAGAGCACGCCCGGCTACGTGCGGTGGCGCAATTTGGCGTCGGACGGCCTGCAGGTGAATCTCAAGTTCAAGACATTGGCCAGCGACGGTCTCATCTTCTACGCGACCAGCAATGAGCAACCAAGCGTCGCCACCAGCTATCTGTCGCTAGAGAACGGCCAGCTAGTGTTCAGCAGCCAGGGCGAGGAACTGAGAACCAACCCGACGGACATCAAGTTCAACGACAACGAATGGCACGTGGTGACCGCCACTCACAGTCCGTCGTCTCTCAGCCTCGATATCGACGACACGAAGAGCTACGGCACCGATTCGCCGCCGCCGCCGCTGCACTTCCTCTACGGCAGCCTGTACATCGGCGGACTGCCGTCCAGCTGGGATCCCGACGGCAACGCCGTGCCTTTCGTCGGCTGCATCGGCGACGCGACGCTCAACGGCGACATCATTATCAATTTCGCCAACACGACCGAGAGACCGCACGCGTTCCTCGGAAAATGCAAAGGGGGCGATCAGACGCGTACGTGTCAACATTGTGAATTATTGCCGGGCAAGTTGTACGTTTCGTCTGTATTTAACCGCTTCGACTTTTTTTCATTTAGCTCTACCAACATTTATCGAACCCGAAGTGTTACCGCCATTGCTGCCATCGGAAGGTTCCGAGGATACAGTCGAGCAGTCGACTCAAATCAGTAAGCAAAACGAATGAAGTCGTTTTAAAGAATAAAAATCATACTGTCATACGAGACAACGATAGACAAATCAAATTGAAACGAATAATTTTCTTCTAGATATAATTGACGTCCCTGGATTAGAGGACAAGGACGACGACGAGCTTGAACCAGAACTTGAAGGACGAATAAACGGTGAAAAGTTCGATTTCACGACTACGCAGAGGCCGCTCACGCAGCCTCAGACCGTTGACGAGTGTCAGCTGCCGTACTTCCCCGCCGTGGATCCTGATCTCGGAAATACTTGGCGATTTGGTATTGGCATTTCTAAACAATCGAAAGAACTCAAGCAATGAAAATATTACATTCAATCCGAGTTTATGTGAGCGTTTCAAAAATTTCTTCTTTAGGCACTGCGAAAAACAGTAGGTGGGAATACAGAACGTTGAACGGAAGGTACAAGGACAATTATGATTTCCAAATCGATATAAAAACAACAGCGGATGAAGGAATTATATTCTACACCTCCGATCTCAATAAAAAAGCTTTGATCGCGTTGTACGTGTCCGAAGGAAAGGTAAAAAAAGAAGTCGCCCATTTGCACAACAGAGCCGTCTCGCGCGTTATTCTTGTCAGCACGACTGATCTTGCAAAATCACTCTTTAAGGTTAACTACAAATTCAACTGCGGAACCGGATCGGCGTTTCTGATGACCGAGAAAAAGATCAACGATAACGAGTGGCACACCGTGATTTTCAAGAGAGACGGTAGCTACGGCGAGCTGACTGTGGACGATGAATCCAAGTCGGGATTCTCGTTGGGAACAGCCACCAAGATCAACGTCAACCCGCCGTTCTTCGTGGGTGGCGTTTTGCCAGAGATACACAGCATCGTATACGAGAACATTGTGAGGCCGCTAGATCAGTTTTTTTTTTTACAAATATTGTTTGGAATAATGAAAATATGATAAATCTGTGGAATTCTTTTCTAGGGTCTCAATAAGACGTTCAGCGGCTGTTTAGGAAATTTCATGATGAACGGACAATCCGTCGGGGAACCATCGGAGAGGATAGGCGTGATACCTTGCTCGAACAGAGTCGAGCCTGGTCTTTTCTTCTTCCCAGGAAACGGCAGTAACTTATTCAAGACGGGTAAGGAAACTTACTCAAGCATGTTCTGAGAAGAGAGCTAAATATATCTCGATGTGTCGGCGATGACAAACAATCAATTGGAAGGAGACATTTCTCTCCATCGTCAATTTTCATCGTTGATTTTCAGTTGAGAACCGATTCAACGTTGAACGCATGGTGAACATTCAAATGGATATAAAGCCGCGCTCGACGTCCGGACACTTGCTGTCGGTGCACGGTAGGAGAGATTATCTTGTGCTAGAGATGGTTAACGGCACCATCAAATTCCTCTTGAACACGCATAAGGGCCCGATCGAGACTTCGTTCAAGCCGACGCAACCGAACTCCTTGTGCGACGGTCACTGGCACAATATTCAAGGTACGTAATGTCGCGTATATTCGGTCACAACGGCCACACATCGTGTTCCCGAAGTCGCATTCTTTTCAATCAATTTGGAGTCGATTTGCTTGTGACTGAAAAAATATCAACACTCAACGTTAATAAAATTGCGTCAATATATTTTTTTTAATATTACAAAATCTCTACAGTATTAAATATTTATGTCGCGTTAATGCAATGTTTTTTTAACAGCTGTTAAAGAGAAGAACGCGGTGATGTTGTCGGTCGATTACAAACCGGCGCCGCCCAGTTTCGGCGGTGCGAACGTGGCGAAATTCTTGTCGAAATATCCAATATTCATCGGTGGCCACCCGAATCTGGGAAAAGGACTGCGAGGCAGCATGTCGCAAGCTCAGTACGTTGGCTGCATCAGCAACATTCAGATCAACGGAAAGTTGATTAAAATCAAGCCCGAGCGAGTGTTCGGGCAAGTCCTCGCTGGTGTATGCCCGACCATTTAAAGCGATAAAAGAATTTTGACGGCCCACGCCAACTTAAATCCTTATCCGGAATCTTAATTTGACCGTTTTTTTTTCTTCACATTTTATTAATTCGCGATAATCGACTAAAACATAACAAATAAACAGTAAATCTGCGAAAAACTGAACTTAAACATCCGTTAGTCTTCTTCTTCGGGGAAAATATTTTCTGACTTTTATCAGCGATGAGAAATTATTTGTACGGGACATACAAAAAAAAAAGAACTCGCTTGTAACCAAAGATATGATTTAATTAAATGACGTAAGTTATAAAATACGTAGACTGGAAGTTGGTTTTGATGCATAAAAGGACGCAAGCTAAAAACAGGAAGAGATACTTGTAAAAGTTATAAGCGTTTTATTTTGTGAATATATATGTATACGTAATGTAATTAATTGTGCGTTGTACCGCACTCGGCACATCTTGTAAATAAATCCAAATTCCTATACAATAAATTCTCAAAAGTCCGTTTTCATAAAGTTTGTTTTCGGCTCAGTCTTTATATCGTTATGTCATTACGGAAATCGTTATCCTTAGCGCTTACCTTCCCGTCAAAATACACGCAACGTTGTTTCGCTATAGTGATCGTCATTTAAACAAGTGGCGATTCGATTGTAGGCACGATAATTTGGAAATTGTCAATGAAATTGTCAGTGCAATGAATAAAAGTGCATTCGTAAGTTCAAGCCTGCTAAAATCCATGTTGTGCTGTAACAAAGCGAATGATAGGCGAATTAGTAGAATTTTACATGATGAGCATGATAGAAGTGCAATTATGAAAACTACATGTGCAAATGAAAATTATTTTTATAACTTAACAATAAAATAACTTATATCTTCCAGGAAACATATGATGAAAATGTCACATAAATGTTTGAATTGTAATTTAGAAAATGATGCGAGTCACATTTTTCCGTTCAAAAATGTTGGGAGGAATATTTATCCTTCATTACAAAGTTGCAGTAAGATTAATTATCCTACTAATTATTTATCACGTTACTGGTTACTATTGTAACTGGTTAATATTTAATATGCGCATCATTTACTAAACTACAATTCACAATCATAAAAACGATTCTTGCAACGTCTAGCGCCAGTATTTCATATGTTGCATTTGCCAATGCAACTTACGTACATTACATACGTTATATTGCTTATTTGATTGAATTTTGTCTACCTCGCACTTAATTTAGGACGGGAATTACGGATTTGCGTAACTCATTCAAAGTTAGAAAAAAAAAAAATATAAGGTATATTAAATCATCTGTAATACATAAAGTCTGATTTATTACAGTTATTGCATATTATATATAATCAGCCTGTTCATCAGATTGTCTTACTACAATCTCTAGACTTATAATATTATACTTAACTCTCTTTCTAACTCACGTTATTTCGCAATTAGTGGCATTTATCAAGACAAAAGACACAAAACACATTCAATTTTCTCACTTTGTGCCACGACATTTCACGTATTAGCAGTCCACACTGACTTTTTACAAAGACTTACTGGAAGTAATTGAAACAAGATTTACTGGCAGAAAAATCCGAAAAAAGAAATTTTCGGGAGAATAATTTAAAGAAGTTTCAAAAACTGATTTTTATATGCATAATAAATATATTTTTTTCTTTTCCCTTGTTGAACTATACGTTGTGAAAATAGAGTACAAAATCCAAACAACAAATATTAAAGATCTATTGACTCATCCTACACGCACCATTTCTAAATTACAGCATGGCGAAGTAAGGAGTTGCACGAAGAAGCATTTGACGTTACACGATTCGCAAACCATAAATCAGTGATATGTGCAATAAAAGCTAACCAACTGATGATTGATATGATGATTGATTTATGCAAGATGTCTCCACCGCCATCGAATGATATTTCAATAATTAACTCTTTGAAAATTTCATCTTTAAACTCGATCTTTGAACGAAACAGTAGACCTAGCGCGGTGATATACGCGAAAAGGAAGCAAAACGTGCCATCAACTGCCAAGAGTAACAAGCTGTCTGTGATATATTCTGAGTGCTTCAACAAAGTATTCATTTAGAAAATACTTACAGAGCATGTTATCGATGTTAGCTCACTTTTAGGATGTTTAAAACGAATTTTTGTAGATGAAAAATTTAAAGAAGAAAATCGCAGGAGAAAAAAGGCAAATTTTGACATCCCCAAATGTTTAAAAACGGATCACATTGTAGCGAATCTATAACACCATTTCCGAAATTTCGCGTTTGTGTTCTTAGATTACTAATGCGGTGGGAGGGACAGGGTCTCCGATCATCACTCTTCTAAAGTATTACAGTAAAACATTCACAGACTTCTAAGTATCCGCAAACGATCCTGAAATGAACGATAAACGGACCGACCGGAAAAAAAAAAAAAAATAAGTACAATTCAATCGATTGATCCTCCTCGGCGAGGAAATGGTCAGTCATTTATCACGCGATTTCAGGAGGTTTCTCACCGAAGTGGTGTATCACAGTGCAACGATTCAGACACTCGATTGGGTTTACCCGCGAGGGGTTCGATCGAGATAACCGATAGCGGGCCAGATCGGATCCAACCCGTTGAGAAATGTGTGTACGTGATGTTAAATTAACCGCATCGATTATGATTGTGGTCCTCGATCGACCCTGTGCGTAACAATCGCGCCTGTAGAATCGCGCGTATCACAAAAGGCGACGGTGTGCATCACCGTCGTGTATTCGACGGCTTCGATTTATCTTCGGAATAAATTCACAGGATCTTGCTATCTTTAGGGTTCCAGCCATAAACGCGCGAGTATCCCGGTGAAGGAATTTTCCGAGTAAACCTTGATGACGGTCGGACGATGTTTCTCGAATCGATTCTGCGGGGATCCAGAACGACCTATGTCAATCCGCGCAAATGGAAACGGAAGTGCAAAATCCAAAGTTTACTTCCACCACATCTGCGAGGTGACATCGATATTCCTGGCTCCGCGTTGATGGTGTACAGTAATTCAGTCGTACTCATATACGATATTCGACTCTACTCGATGCCATGCGCGAAGATCATCACCAGGCCCGGCTCGACCATCATGTCCTCCGGCATGTGCGTGTTATCACAGTGGAGGACCAGCACCGCTTGTTTGCCAGGCACTCTTTTGCACACGTAGTTGTCATATTGCCGCCGAGAGTTCTGTCTGGTCTCCAGGGAGTTCAGGCCCGGTGGCCACTTCCTCTCGTGGCAATTCTCCATCAGCTCGTCGATGACATGCGGCGGACAATTGTACTCCGACAGGGTTCTCTTTATCATCGTCTGCAAACGACAAAGGCGTTTGAGTCAATTTCGGGTCAATCGTCAAATCAATTAATCGTCAATTCGCAAAGTCGCACCTGTAGCAACTCATCGGGCGTGGAGATCATGCCACCCCACCTGGTGACCCTGGCGCGCGGTAAAGTGGCGGACCATCTAACAACCTCGTCCCTCTCCATCTGGTCAGCGATTGCGCGCATCGCCGGATTCGACACCCGGAGCGCACGCATAAAGTCCTTCAGCAGGTGTATCTCGCGCTTGTGCTCGTTGATCTGCAGCTGCTGCTCGCCGAGTTCACGCTTCATGTCGTTCAGCTTCTGCTGCTGCGACTGTATCAGGTTGCGGAGCTCGCGCACGCAGTTGTGGTCCTTGAGCTCGTTCTTGGGGATGATCAGACTGCAACCCTGCTCGCACAGCATTGGTCTCTTTGGATTGTACTCGCACTGTTCGAGATGTGAAGCCAGACTGTCCAGCTTAACAATCGCGGTGCAGCCGTACACTATGTTGTCGCAATTAATGCACAAGCGAGCTAGTAGATTCCTCAGGATTCGGGGAACTGCTCTGAGCTGAGCGGATGTGATGGGCGTGCGGTCCAGAGGGCAAGTAGGCTGGCGATTTATCCATTCGTTAATGCAGGTGCGACAGAAGGCATGCTCACACACTGGTGCCTGCAACACATTGCTCACCTGCAAGTCCTCGTAAGCTGCCACAACTTATAGGAAAGTATATATAGATATATGCTATCTCCGATAAGATTCGAGTAGATCAATGTCTTTAGAGAAAGAATAGAAATTTCAAGACAAGCAAGGAGTACAAATGGATACTAGAGAGAAAGCCTTCAAGTTAAAAATATATAAAACGAATTACGCGAATAGCATTATGAATAATGTTGAAGTTATACGTAAGAAAATAAATTGAATAAGATGTCTTTTAGTCATAAAATGCATGTATATATATATACATTATCTTCGTGTTCATTTAATTTAAAACGGTAAATATTTATAAATGCTATAAGTAGTATACTTCACAAATAGAGCAATAAGAAGTTTTAGACAAGAAAGAGGAGCGTATAAATAGATATTAGAAAGCAACTGATTGTGAGTTATAGAATGTTATTATGTTAATATTTGACGATAGCTTAAATATTGTATATTTATATTATCTTGTATAAACAGTTATTCATTTTAAAATGATAAGCATTTGTAAAGGGTGTAAATTTCCTTTATCCTCAGTAAATGCAATCAGATAACTAGTGATAGCATGAATATCTGTAAAGCAACAAACCGAGACTAACCTATGTAAGCACATACATGACTCTGTTTTAACTTCAAAGTAAAAAGTATAAGCAAAAAGTATAGCAACAAGAGCAAGTAAGCGTCAGCGAACGGAGTTAGATAATCTCGCACGTGATATTGGGTATCCAGAACAGATTTGCGTCTTAAAACGTAAAATCATAAAATCTCGCCATAGATGTGTTGACTTATCATTCTGAAATCAAACCGGTAAAATTCCAAAATACATTCACAGAAATTCTGATTTCTTCAATTTTGCTTTTCCTCGAGGATTGAAATACTTTTCTCGCGACGATCTATTTCCTTTCTTTTCTTCTTTTTTTTTTTAAATTTGATAAACTACTTGCACAACAACGCACAGAGCGAAAATCTAGGTTAGACGTGGGGACAGGTTGCGTCACAGCGAAACTCTCGCAAACACGTGGTGTAACATCCTACCTGGACGGGATCTTCAAGCACACCGGAGCATATCGGGCACACGAGCTCCTCATCTACGTCCCCCTGGAAGCGGTTCACGTCGAACCCCATCGCTCACGAATGCGTGTGTCGCCTCCTTGTCGCCTCGTCGTGCAATCTCCCAACAGTCAGGAGCGGATCTAACCGCGAGAGCGTGCAGGAGATTCACCGACGAGGCTTCGACCATATCCGGAATCTCCAGTCTCAGAAAATTCACTTTTCCAAATTTTCCCTTAGATTTTTTCAAACATATCACATACAAATCTAAAATGTATATTTTTGTGTCACAAATTTAATCAGAGATTTATAATTATTTGGCAATTTATTTTATTCTTTTAATAATTTGCATATGTAAAACAGTAGAGCTAAGAAAGTTTTAAAAATTTTGATATTAATTTCACAATTAATTCTACTCACTGCGAAAGTGCAGTAGACTTTTTTCAGTGTAAACTTTAAGAACAGATTCAATCAAATTTGTTGTAAAATTATCAACTATCAGGCGTTCAACGAACTCCATAGACGGGCATAAGGACAGCACTGAAGGGACCCCCTCGTCTCTTTCACTGGGAGAGCAGGGATCCTGGACTCGTCGCTCTGTGTGGACGGTTTTACCGTTATCTTCGCGGCTCCTGTCTGTCCCGTTCTCGCGCTAATCGGTCCGCTGCTCCCGAAACGGCGTGGTCCCAAAATGAACCATTAACGACGAAATTGTGAAACGATCCCTTCGTAATTTTATTATGAAAAACTTTCTTATTTAAAATAGTAGTTTTCGACAGCCAAATATTTAAAGTATTCCGTAGTTTTCTCTTCAATTTATATCCGCATGATAGATGCGTGGTCTTGCAGTTAGAATTCAAAATTTAAAAAAATTTATATTTCAAGTACAAAAAATCTGTAACAGGATACTCTACCTACAAACTAGAGCTACTGTGCTTTACTTATTCATCTTTTCTATTTATAGATCTATAGAAATAGATCTTCAATCTATTTTTTCAGAATTAAAGACAAAAGCGCGATTTACAATCAATCGGCGTCAGATCGGCTATCTGAAAAATAAAGTTCGTCATTACAAGTATGACAATCTGATGACAAGAAATCTCGATTCGAGAGCAGGGAGGCACCTTCAAAAATCGAAGCGACGAGTACTTCATTTGTGCAAAGTTAACCTTACGTAATATCCTTGATAATGCACTTGATATTCGTTTGTCATCGAGAAGCTGATTAGCTTGTATTTTTCTACGAATCGCTGCGAGCTTGGTATTTTCAATGTCAATGATTTTTAACTTAATTACGATCGATCAATCTTTAATATCATCGAGATAGAGTCAAAAAGTAAAGAGACTTTTTGATTAAAAATCTTTTAAAATTACCTACATTTCGATCTTAAAATATTCTTTTACTTTTTGACTTACTTTTTCGTAATTTCTCAACATGCTAGATTTTTAATTTCACTAAGTTTTGTCATTGAATATTATTTTTTACAGGATACGTTTTTTCCTAAATTTTCCCCTGTTTATCGCGCTTATCGTGTCAGATATGAAGCTGTCTATCATTTTCGTGGCAAGGGAGAACTTTCTGAGATCTAATTCAACTAATCGTATACGAAAAATGGACAGGACGAATATTGTTCATCGAAAAACAAGAGATAAACTTCTGTCAACAACGTTTTGTTGGTTAGGTAAATTATAATAATTTATATATACAATTAATTTCTTTACTATTCAATTTATTAATTTTTTCATCATGTATAAATGATTCATAAATTGACGATTATTATGCTATATGAAATAGGACTTGTGACACTATTTCCCTTAATCACCAAGTTTCACAAAACAGACAATAATTACTCATAAATTCCACACTGTTAGGAAAGTTAGTCATTATATCCTTTTCACCAATAAAATTGAATCTCAAACAATTTTCGAGTAGTATCGGTATGCGATAAAGTCAGATCTTTGTAACTGCTTTGCTTGCAGGTTTTAATAGATAAGGTAACGAGCGATAGCTTGCAACCTATGTATTACGCTCAGATCATCAGTGTCCGAGTAATTGCCGTGAGAATAAGTTGGACAGGAGAGACGCAGTGAAAATGGACACGACGACCGATTTGCTGAGAAAACGTTCCGAGAACGAGATCGAAGGTATTGAATTATTTGGAAAAAGGAAAAACTTAGCAACACTTTTTCGCCTTTTAATCTCTGCCGTGCGCATAAAATAATCACTTATTTTGCATTAGATTGGAGATAAATAAATTGAAATTGGTCCGAGTATTTCCGAATACTTCCGAATACTTTTATATTTCGGTTTATATATATAATCACGATTATACCAATTCTTTATTGCAGTATTTGCAGTCTGATCGATTGATTGATTACACGATCCAAGTTGAAACGAGAACATGCTTTCTTCTCCGGTTAGTTTCCGTTAATCGTATCGTCAGACGCTGCCGATAATGAGAATATATATCAACTTTTTCTTAAGGCATTAGTTCGACGACAAACTAATTTATTGCCTCAATTACATCAATGTTTTAGGATAATTGTAATATAATTTATCGAAAATAAATAATCAAATTGTCAGTTAATTATCAGTTAAATAATTAAATTTTTTTTAAATATGAGTAATTTAGAAAATGATGAAGTAAATATTAACAGAATAATATCATATCAAAATAATAAATAAAAAATATTATTAAAAACATTTTTTATCTGTAAAGGCAAAGAGCATTTAAGCGATTTGACAAATGGGTACAGATTATAATATACAAAGATAAAGTCTTTTATCTCCGATGAACGAGAAATTACATACCAGAGAAATATTTTACACGTATCAAACAAGCATTAACACGAAATAATTCAGAAAATTGTGTACAATTGAATGGTTATGTGAAAAAAGAATTTAATTGTTAATTTAATTGTCAATTTAAATCAATTAAATCGGATAAAAAATAAAAGTGCGCAGCTAGCAATTAGATTAAAATAATAATTTAATACATCTCAACAAAAATCTTTAGATTAGAGCGGTAAACAATTACTTTATCTTTCTGAAAAGAATGTCGAGTATTACATCCGTCGATACGGTTAGCAGTAATTGGGAAGAGCATTGTGGTAATGATATTGTATTTCGTATTTTGACAACGTCATTCATTAGATCGTTATATTATATATAATATAGGAAACATGATAAGAAATTGTCGAGTAACAGGACTGAAATCAAAAATGACGTAAACATTATTGTTGTGGACACTATCTCTCGCAAAACCCAATGATTGTGAAAAGTACGCTGCGATAATGAATATCTCGACTGACAAACGTCTTGTGACATGATTCAATATTTGAGAGTTTAACGATCGCGGCGAAATAATTTCTTTATCGGCGCGATTGGACCGTGACCCAAATTTTAGAGACCCGAATCGTCAGCATCACTATAAATATTAATGATTGTCGATTGCTTTCACTATCTCACGGCGTTATATCTATCCGCAACTCGTTTTCGCAACTCTCATTCAGATCATTAATAATCATTGCTCAATTTTTGCAGATTCGATATTCATAACGGAGTTCATTTTGAAGTTAACAGACAACAAAACAAATTGCAATCTTTGTTATTATCCCACTCTGCGCGCGAAAATGAATAGAGTAGGATGTCAGGGCAATGTCCCACAACAACGAATTAAAATTGGAACTATTGATAATTATCTTAGACAAGTTTTTAAGTAAAAGCGACGATCGTGTCACAAATTATTCTTTATTAATGCGCAATGAATACTAAGCAGCCACCGCGATCGAATTCAAAACAGGTTTATACCGGATCGTATTCGAAATTACGCATTCAAACATATGTAATGAATTGAATTATTCAGAAGGAATTATCGCATTTTCTACTGAATGTATAAACGTAACGATCGATTTAAATATAAAGAAAAATACAATAGACGAGATATGATTCACAAGGAAAATACAAAATGCAGCAATTATTGCATTTGATGAACAAGATCCTTGTTTTTCAAGAATCAAGAATTTTTCAAGAATCTTAGTTAACAGTAGTTTTAGACGCTATAATTTTATCAATCTCTTTTTTCTTATGGTTACCTGTCTTGATAATTCAATAATGCAAATTGCTTTGTCAGCCTTATAAATATTTGCACTTCATGTTTCAGATCATCCTGATAACCAGAGCAATGTCGAAGAAAAGGTGAGACGAAACTCCGCATTCGGATCATAAATATTAGTAAAATGTTTGTCAATACATCTTCACGCAGTGTATAAATTATCAAATATGTTCAAATTTGTATAAGGTAAGATTCGGATTTAAGATAGATAACTATCAATGATTATTTACGCGTCACGCAGTCTCGACAGATAATCGTGGCCGGCTTATGGTCCGGCGAGTCTCTATAAAAATTTGGCCTCGGTGCTATTTTCGCTTATTGTGATTTAGTGATGTTATCTCAAGGTCGGAAAATTATCGTTATTACTATGTATTTAAACGTATCGCGCGTTGCATAATACGATAATGATGAGGGCAGCGAAGCGCAACTTGCGAACCTTTTCATACTCCCGAACGATCGTTAACATTAAACATAGTTCGACAAGAGAAAAAAAAAACAACACGTAAGAATCCTGGTAATCATTTTTCTTTGCGGACAAAATTGTCGCCTCGTTACAAAACGCGCCAAGTAAATGTCCGACGTTGAACTTACATTTACGTATCGTCGATCGGCTGCGTCTTTATTGAGCAACTTTTTTTGTTTTTTCTGCGTCGCTTTTCGTCGCGAATTTCACCGATTTCACTGTTTTACAACAGATTCCGCAATACGCGTAATGTTCCAGTTATAAAAATAAAAAAGAAACGCGCAATAAAAAAAAATAACTGTATGATGCTTCAGTAATGTAATGTCAGTGTGAAATTTCCACAGCAAGTTCTGTAACAAATTCTGAGTTGTTTTTTCTTTCTGCAAAAAATTTCGCAAAAAGTCTAAAGCGCTGAAAAGCGATGAAAAAAGATTTCTAGAATTATTTTATTGCAATTGAAAGAGGAAAATTGGCTTCACTTCTGTACAATGATATCTATGTTACTCGATATTTATCTCTTTTTTCTGTTGTGAACAAAAGATATGACGACCATAATTCGACTGAAACTAATCATTTGAACTGTAATAGATAATTTTCAGACAATGCATAGATAAAAAAATAATATAATAGATTAAATAGATCATGGATAAGATTGCGTAGAAAAAAAAATAACATATATATACAATACGTTATCTTACCGAGAACAAAATGTAACAATTAAATCAACAAATTAATTATATTTATCAAGCGTGCATTGATAATAACGTTATACAAAATACGGTTTCTCCGTTACGTAAACTTGCAACGCCGTCAACGAGGCCAGCAACATAAGTAATGAATTTCTATTATTAGTGACGTGATGTTTTACTTAACAGCCCGTTTTGCCGTCGCGGATAGACCTGTCATTATTAAAATGATCTATTAGATTCTGAGAATCAATTTCTTTAATCATGATATTATTGTTTCTATCCGATATTACTCATCATATCAACTTTTGAATTATTATTTTTAAAAAGACATATTATTCGTATATACATTACTAAATCTGAAAACAATCCATTTTCGACGATACCATGTGATTTTATTTATAATTCGGAGACGCGGCGTCTCGCGCTGCCCAGACATAAACCTGTAATATCTCGACCGCACGTCAGACGTAAATTGAGAACTATTACATCCCCGCGCACTTGAACCATCTGGTTGAACGAACGATGCAAGAACGTGCATGGCCCTGTCGGATACTTTCACATTGTTCCAAATACTATGCTGCGCCGGATCACGCGTTCACTGCAATGTAAATGCCGCCGTTACGTGTTACATTTTATACCTACTTCAGGATACACTGTGCTACCTACGGTCTGACAACCGATCGTAGTCACTCACGATCACCGCTGTTAGTCTCGAAGTACTTGCGCGTGTGAGCAGAGCTGTTCAGGCCGCCAACACCGACGACAAGCGATCGCCGGCGAGTATTGCGACACGTGTAACATGCGTTGACGAATTGAGCCCATGAAGTGATCGTGAAGTGATCGATCGTAGTAGTGATCAATATTAATACGCTGATTTGTTCCTTTGAAATAGCAATCGCGAACACACAGTGTTTTACAATGGTCGTCAATACGCAGCAGGTAAAACTTATTGTGTTATTGCGACTATGATCGTCGCCGTAATGATCGGTTGCAAGACTTGACGTTGAGCAACTTTAATTGTCGCTAAAATACCGATTGCGCTTGTCTTTCCGGAAGCTAAATTAGAAAACTGACTTCTCTGTTCTGAAAGAATGCGGATCGAGCATTGTATGATCCTACCTTTTACCGCTTCAAAGTCTCTTCTTCAGAATTAGATCAAACAGGATTTATTAGTACATCCTTGCAAATATATATCCTTGTACTTTCAGATTCGTAGTATATCCCACACAGCGCACATATCCAAAAGATGTTCAGGAGGCATCCCGAAGGGGAGGCATCTTTGAGAGATATGATATTTTCGGAACATTTCCCGGATATGCATGCTGTGTAGGACGTTCCATTCAAATAAAGCTTATCTTGTATGTGATTTCCATTTTCAACTCTGTGTATCGTCATTTGAGAGAGATAAATGCTTCTTTAGTCCTAAATTATTGTGGCAGCTGATACGAATGAGGATATATCAGTTTTTAAATTGAACACTAGTTCGTTGACTCTCTTCCATTCATTCCAGCATGCTCGACTAATTCCCTTCATCTTGACATACTTTCTTCACGTCCATTTGGCGATAATAAATCAATTCAGTGTGATCACGATAAATTGATTCCCTACGATCGCAAGAAGAAAATTAGTAAATATTGATACTGTCGTATTGACATTTATATCCTTGGCTTAAAACCTACATTCGTTATTATCGCTAATAAATTGTTTACCCGCGCAACATGCAACGTAATTGAGTAAGCATTATCAAGATTAAGATTTTTTAACTCGATCATTGGGAAGAAGGTTCAAATGCGCGTCGCAAATAAAAAATATCTCTGTAATCGCGAATTATATTACAAGAATAATATATACGTATATCAATCACCGAAGAGAGCGTTTTATCGCGGGGCAAATATCGTCGCGTTCGGGAAAAGTTCAAGTGACAAGCCAATTACCGGCATACTAGCACAATTATTATATACAAGACGTGCCGAAAGTCGTGCGTCTTTTTTAATATTATAACAATTCTGTAGCGTTTTCTATATATGCTGCATTTAAGATGCGATTTTTCTTTTATTCTTAGTTTTCACGTAACAGCTGTGACACTTTAAAAACAGCGCATACGTGATATTGCATAGCATAATATAAAAGTTTTTTTAAATAAAATTGTTATATATTTATAAAGATGACGTTTTTATCATCGAGGAAGTTAAATTAATCACTAACATAGTTCAATTGTAACGGATTTCATATGATTAATTGAGATTTAGATAGTCGGGCAAAGCGAGTTGTACACGTGCAGGCATGCGCCTAGTTTCAATTCAAAGAACTGCTGCCAGACGTCATCTTTGCAGCAAAATATAAGAGAAAATTAATAATTTTATAGAATTATAAAAAATATTATTCTTCGAAAATACATAATTCTAAGATTTATTGCTACATTATATTTTAATTAATATTTTCTTCTTGCAATGACGACATTTAAATAGCTACTTAAGCTTTCAGGCGGTTATAAATTAATAAACAAATGTGCAAAACATCTTCAAACGATAATGTTAATGTTACTGTTTGCATCTCAGACATTCAATTACAGATTGCAAAATTATTTCGTATTAGTATGAAACTGTGTCATATAAGTTTTAGGTTGTAAACAAAATCTAGTGCCCGTATTTTTCGTATCCGTTGATAGCATATCGCAAGAGAATTTGCATATTTTACCTGTATTCTTCATAGATGTTTGATTACAGTTCGTCAAGCAATTATTAGTCAAATTGTCAAGGTAATAGCTGTAAACGGTCTGTTAAGTATTTTTTATTTGTTCCGTAATGATTTCTCTGCGCGTATCTAAAGTCCTTCCTTGGAACAGAATCATGCTTTGAATCTCTGTATCAAGGCTGATTGTGTATTCACACGAATCCATCGTCAGGAATTTGTTTTACTGCACTATGTATTGAGTAGAATTTTTTACCTTTCTCCGTAATGCGTCTTTTTATCTATTCTACGCATTTAGCAGTCTAAACTTAATCATCTTTTGAAGAAAAGCAAATATTGGCGGAAAGCCGAGCAAAAATTACATCTCGTAATTAGTGGATATCGCGTGTGAAAACATACACATTATCTCACATACAGTTGTACGCACGCTCATTTTGTTATCTCTTAAGTCTTTTATTCTTAGCCGTTAATCTTAGATGTGCAGCACAAATGATACTCTGGCCGGTGCGACCTTCGCATTTCACGCTGAAAAATATTGGAAAATGAATGTATCCACAACGTAATAATGTTAATCGGGTCAATGTGATCACGCTAGATACTTCAGTGAAAAGTGAATTAACTTAAGACGAGATGTCTCATCGATTCAAGAATTATTTTTATTTTTCGAACTAATTAAAAAGGCTTTAGTATAAATTTTGAGAATTAATAATGATTGTTATTATATTTTATTTAAGATATTTAAATTTTGTTCAAATCTTTACCGAAACATTATCGAAACATTGAAAAAGATTATTATAAATAATAGCGATAAGTCAAGATAACTAGTATGATGATAATTTCTTTAATGTATCATTTAAAATTTAATGTCTTTAACTTTGATATCTCATTGATAAACATTAATCTTTTTTCTTAAAAACTTTTCAGAAGCTGAAGTATCCCAAGTCAATTTTCTTCATTGTCAGCAATGAGTTTTGCGAGAGATTTTGCTACTATGGAATGCGCAGTGAGTATATAAATTATTAACGTCAATTTAAACGTCAGTTTATAATTATTGACATATTTTACTTTTGCAATCTACGTAATTAAAAAATATTGTTGTGACAATTAGGACAATTGCTTCTTCAATTGTGACTCTTATGCAATTTTTAATTGAGAGCATAGAATAAATTTTTCGCTTTACTGTATTCTGTGTAAATGTTTCATGTGCTCAATTGGCAAATTGATCTTCTAATGACGTTGCAAAAAAAATCACAATTTATTACGTTCTTATCTGACAATCCAGTTACATCAAGACATATTACATTATTGATAAACTTGTTAACATGCATTTTAGTTTTGAATTCTTCAATTTTAAGATTCTAAGCAACAGTAAAATACACAGTAGCTTCAGTGTGTATTTTAATGTTGAAAGTGCAACACTCAATCATTCAATCACTTAGTGATTGAGAGAATGTTACCTTGTTAAATTATAAATTAATAGATAATTATTTTTTCAGCCGTCCTGGCCTTATACCTGAGTGATATGCTGAAATATAGCGAAGACGACGCCACAATGATCTATCACGTCTTCACCTGTTTCGTCTATTTCTTCCCGCTGCTGGGTGCGATCATCTCCGATTCATGGCTTGGGAAATTCCGTACCATATTATACGTGAGCATAATTTACGCGGTCGGGCAGCTGCTTTTGTCCGCAAGTGCGGCACCTCCTTTGCATATACCTCAAAGGTTGGTACAGATTATATATGAAATAGCCACACACGCGATATTAAAACGTTGATCATTATAGCACGCGCATTCGTTAGAGATCAAATCAAACCTGAATGAATCATCAACAATAATTAAGGCTTGACGAAGTGCCATTTAAGTACTAATGTAATTTTTTAAATTGTTCCTCAACGCTTACCAGCAACAGATTTTAATTTCGACTTTTAATTCCAATTTTCCAGAGCATTTTCCTTACTGGGTTTATTCATGATCGCGGTTGGTACAGGCGGGATAAAGCCTTGCGTGTCAGCTTTCGGCGGCGATCAATTTATTCTACCACAGCAGGAACGCTACTTGGCTACTTTCTTCTCTGTCTTTTACTTCTCTATCAACACCGGCTCTCTTATCTCCACCCTGCTTACTCCGGTAATACGCGAGACAAAGTGCTTCGAAGATAATTGCTTCTCTCTGGCATTTCTCGTGCCAGCCATTCTAATGATCCTATCAATCGGTAAGGAATAAAAAAAATAAAATAAATTTTGCTATTGAAATAATGTCACTAAAAAAATTGTACTTTTTAAACAGTCTTACTAATAAAAACTTGCTTTCAGTTATATTCGCCGCTGGAAAACCGCTGTACAAAATAGTGAAGCCCGAGGGCAATCTCATCGTCCAGGTTTCCAAGTGTGTTTGCGTAAGTATCATCTTTCAGTTTCCAATCATCTTAAGCATAATCGTCTAAGGATTTATAATAAAGAATATGCGCATTCTATCATACAAAGGCATCAGTCGCACATCTGAAACAAAGATATATGTATAATAGAATATATTTTAAATCATTTTTTATTCAAAACAATTTTTCTTTTTGCTGTATTTCGCATCAATTCTTCAATTTTTAGAACGGAAATTATTTCTTCCGCCGATTGATTTCCCTTTTTTGAATTTTTGAATTCACGAATAAACGTAGAGATTTGTTAAAGAAGAACACTCGACTAATAATATTCTTTTTTGAAAAACCAGCACGCAATTCACAACAAGATAAGGAATAAAGGGAACAAACGCGATCACTGGCTCGACCACGCGGATGACACGTACGACAATAAGCTAATCGAAGACACTAAGGCTGCTCTGCGAGTCCTGAAACTGTTCATCCCGCTGCCAATATTCTGGGCGCTCTACGACCAACAGGGTTCTCAATGGACATTCCAAGCAACGCGGATGGACGGTCAGATAGGCAGTTTTGTGCTGCTGCCCGATCAACTGCAAGCCGTCAATCCGCTGTTAATCGTTATTTTTATACCTATTTTCGAGACTTGCATCTATCCGTTTTTCACCAGGATACACATGATTGACACGCCACTAAAAAAGCTCGTCGTCGGCGGATTTTTAGCGAGCCTGGCCTTTGTCGCGGCCGGCCTCGTCGAATTGGGACTTGAGGTAAAGACAACTCGCATGTTTGCTATTTATCTATGAGATATCAATGACAGACACTTGTATGAAATTTCTTAAAAATAGATTAATCAACATGCTTACTTTTATAATATGCATTAAGCTCACGTAATTAATTATTGATTTCAGTCAACACATCCGGAATTGCCGACACTGGGATCCGCTCAAATTCGGATTTTCAACACAATGAATTGTCCAGTACATCTGACTATAAATGAAAAGGCACCAGTTACCGTAAACCCACTAAGCAAGTGGGAGGATTTAAAAGTAAATGTGGACAAAAACGGCTCGATTATACTGAGCTACGAAGCAGATTTCACAACTTGCAAAGATATGGGTTACGATATAAATGATACATTTCCAAAAGGTAAAACACGCAAATTTATGTTAAAGAATTTAAGCAAATAACTCTTATACTGAACAATCTCACAAATAACTTTTTCCACCAGGAAATATTACGGCCGCGGAAGCCACTGCGTCATCTTGGGTTATAACGCCCGAAGGATTGACACATTACAAGGACAAAGTGGATAAACCGGACAGGGGTAAGCCAGTGGTCCGCAGTCTAATCTACCTCGCACCCAACGTGAATAGCACCAGTTTGAGATTCGTTAGTCAAGACAAGACGATAATGTCAATACCGGTTAATAGATCGTTACCTTCGGAACTGGTGCCATTCGATAATCCAAGCGAGTACGACGTCTACCTGGGTACTGAGCTACTGGAGGAGAAAGTATCCTTCAGACTTGGCGGCGTGTACACTGTAGTAGGGTCCAAAATATTTAATGTGTCTGATGTCAATTCGCTTGTGGTTGCCGGCAAAACGATCACGGTCACACCACCTAATAAGCTGCACATGGCCCTGATGCTGCCGCAATACATCATCATTACGATGGCCGAGGTGATGTTCTCCGTAACGGGGCTGCAATTTGCCTTCACTCAGGCGCCGGAGAGCATGAAGTCCTTGCTTCAGGCAGGCTGGTTGCTGAGCGTGGCCTTCGGCAATCTCATCGTAGTGATCATAAAGGGTTCGCGTCCCTTCGAGCGACAGGTAAATCTGATTAAGCGACTGATGAGATTAACACAATTCTTCTTTGCGCTAATTGTTCTTTATGACTTTCACGTTTCATATATATATATATATATATATACACACACAATATGCTTAAAAAAACGTGACTGATATTTTATATATTACATTTATTTCAATAAATCTATAAAAAAAGTTACACGTACTGCAAGCAAAAATTTAAAACGCAACAATGTTAATCGTTTAGTCGCCACCGTTATCAATTAGCCTGATGAAACGACGACAACTGGATGATGTAGTTGCATATTACATTTTTACCTGCAGTATATGTGTAATTTTTGTAAAGATTTATTGAAAAAATTCAATAAAAGAAATGTGTTATGTTCTTTTTAGACGTACTGTACTTATAGAACATTTAATATTTAATTTGACCATAATTGTCTTATTGAAGTTTACACAGTACTTTATTTTATAAAATAAATCTTTTGTTTTATGGAAATTACTAACAATTAAATCTGTTTGATAGATCTCGTCCTTAAAATGCGTCTTATTTAATATGTCAAATTTTTAGCTGAATTATATAAAAAAGATGGACGTGAAATTAATCAAAGATTCTTACCAGGTAAAGTGTAACTCTAAAATATCCTTGTATTATTTTGTAGTTATTGGAGATTTTCCTATACGCCGGCTTGATGGCGGTGATTATAGCAATATTCGCTGTGATGACTCTATTCTATAAATACGTGGAACCACCGGAGGATGAAGATATAGCCCTGGAAAGGAAAAAAGGAAGTGTCAATGAGGGATACAAAGAGGAAGAAAAATGATAGAATAGAAGTGACTAAAGAAGGAATTATAATTTTCATGTTACTTCTATTCAAACGGCAAGAGCATTGTGCAACTCTATTGAGATACGAAGAATATAAATGCTCTGCATCTGTTTCATCAAACATCTGTTATCGTCAAGTACAAGATACAGAAACTATTTTTAAGGTGTAAACTCACCTTGTTCTAAGCAATGATGCAAATTTGATCATTTTAATTGTAAAGAGAACAATAGAAATCTGTGAAATGAGAAATGGAACATCTTAGAATATCTTAGAGAGGTAAATTTTAAGAAACTTATAATGATTCTTTTAAGTACAACTAGGAGAGTAAAAAAATATTATTAAAATTGCATGAGTGCTGTGAGTGATAAAACTGCCTAAATCATTGCAATGTGTATTATAAAATTTGAAATTTTTATAGATAAGCAGAAAATTTAGTTAGAAAATTAGTTAATTAAATTATGAATGATGCGACTGAGAAATTTAATAAGCAAACAAAAATGCGTAAACGATGACATATTTTAGGAATATTGAGATAATCAAGAATTTAAGTAAAAAAT